ATTTTGGATTTTGAAATCTCACTACCGCCAATACCACAGTTTGAAAATAAAAGTTAAAATTTTTTATTCTCATTTTGGATTTGCAAATCTCACTTTTTATTTTTTTCATGAATCTCACTACCTTAGAACTTGACACTATATACTTTTATTTTATAAAACTGGGGCATTTTATACCTACAGGACCCTTCAACCAAGCCTGATCTTTCAACTGACCCAGATCCTTAGAACTCCTTACAAGTTAGAACCCTGGAACACCCTGAAACACCCTGGAACATTCTGTCACATCCTGGAACACATTGGACAATCTTTGAAATACCCAAGAATCCCTTAGAACAACTTGGAACACTTGAAACCACTCTGGACCACCTTGCAACACCCTGGTACACCCCTGAATCACCCTGAAACACATGAAATACACTGAATCACCCTGGATCATCCTGGAACACCCTGGATCACCCTGGAACACATGAAACACCCTGGATCACCCTGGATCACCCTGGACAACATAAAACATCCTGGATCACCCTGGAGCACCCTGGATCACCCTGGAACACATGAAACACCATGGATCACCCTGGACAACATAAAACATCCTGGATCACCCGGGAGCACCCTGGATCACTCTGGAACACATGAAACACCCTTGATCACCCTGGAACACATGAAACATCCTGGATCACCCTGGAACACATGAAACACCCTGGATCACCCTGGAACACATGAAACACCCTAGATCACCATGGAGCACCCTGGATCACCCTGGAACACTCTGAAACACCCTGGGACCTTGGAAAGCAAGAAACACCCTGGATCACCTTGGAACACCCTGAGTCATCCTAAGCTCAGGAAACTAACTACAGCATGAAGCATTTTAAATTTCATAATTTAACGAAGAGGAATCCTCATATTTGTGTTATGCCAGGGACCATGATTTTCTGTCAATTAAGGAAATTGTCAATTGTAAATATTGTTAGTTATCAACCGACTCTTCTAAGAATAAGATCCGTACATATACTTATATATTGTTGTTTAAAGAGGTATGTATACTATAATGTGCTTATATGTACAGTTCTCAAAACATAACTTGTATGGTAGAAATGTTGATGTGAAATATCCTAGGATGAATATACTCCTGGTGCACCTACTGCTACTGGTTGGAGGGTGCCTGAGCAAACCCTCTACTGAAACATGGTTTCAAAAATCCTTTAACAATATGCAATCCGTACAGTCTAATTTAGGTAAAGAAAATAGAGTGGAAATGGCTTTTAAAAGGCGTAAAATCATCAATCAAAATAAATCAGTCTTAAAAACAAAACAAAAAATATGTATCCGACGTTTTTTATGCTTACTATTTTTATTAATTCTAAACCACATTTCAGGACAACAGTTTGATGAATCATTTAAAAAAGCCTCTTCACAGCTTAACAAGGCCATGGAAAACTTTCATGCAAGGTAACAAAATAGCTTGAGCTAATTAAACGTTTGTCAGTGATTAAAACGTTTGTATAAAGTGACTAAACTGATATTAACATTGGATTAATTTGAAGCAGAAGAAAATAATCCATAAAAACAGCTAACCAATATTTTTGTTATCTCAATTTTTTCCTGATTCGCCGGCATTTTGACAGTAGACAAAGCTCTCTTTGGTTGACCTTCAATGACAACCAAAAGAATTTAACAAATCCGTCGAAACAAAAAAGATGCGGATTAGTGGTTTGTGTTAGGATTAACAATGTAAAAGTTCCAACGTTAATCTATCAAATTTCTTTTACATAACTTTCTCAACTTTAAACTAGCATAAGCCAGAGAGAAACAACAAGTACAATAAAGCCATTTTTAGATAATTTTGTACTTTATGTACTAGATATGGTGGTCCAGCAGACGCTAAAATGCGAGAATTATCCGCTAGATGGAGTTCAGATCTAGAAGGTATGTCTGAGAGTATGATCGAGGGTGCTGAAGAATTCTCTGATATGTTCCATGAAAAAACAGCTGATATCTCAAACATGATGAACACTGGTGCTGAAGATATTTCGCAGATTTTCAATGAAAATGCTGGAAGATTTTCCTCCATACTTGATGATACATTTCAAGGAATTGGTAAGTGCACTCTAAATTTAAAAGTCGTAATTGAACGATAAAAGTCGCCTAATCGGATAAAAAAGTTGGATGCCATGCACCCGATTAGGCGACCAAAAATCTCTCATATTCAACAAAAAAACTCGCTTATTTTCAACAGCAAAATTGTTCATGTTTAGCAAAAATAATCAGTTCTTTAAACAAAATGTTTATTTTTTTTCCCGTGTACATACATTACATAATGAATTGTACAGTATGTTGTTTAATTTCTCAAACATGTAAACTTTTATGCTTTACAGAAGGAGTTTAAAATTTTCTGCAAGGCATGTAATGTATACTAACATTTCTCAGGTTACAGTGATCCCACCATAGCTTTAGTAGAAGTTACTATTTCCATTTACTGTTAGCGCGATTAAAGGATTCATAACTCTGATTGGATAATAGAAAGAAAGATAGATGTTACCGCCAAACTATTTCTATTGGTTCAGAATAGACAACAAACACATCATCACTGAAGCCTGATTGGATCAGGCGCTAATGGACTCAGCATACTGGAGTGATCAGTCAAAGGTTGAAAGGGTACCGTTGTGAATTTGGACGCCCCTCTTTAAATGGAAGGTTCTTTCTAATTAGGCTTGCAGCTCCCTTTAATTGTAGGAAGGTTTGGAGATGATTCACTACAGCAGACAAGTGAAATATTTGGAGGAATGCCAAGAATAGACTCAAATATATTTGGAATATTCAACAGAATTAGACCGTAAGCAATCCCAATGTTAATATATAATATTTATCGTATTTATGTACAGGGTTACCCACAAAGGATGAGACTTCAGAGACGACTGTACAACATGTATATTGCCGAATCATTAAACAAGCCATACAAATGTTCAAGGCAGATGACTTAATTTGACCGTGGATTCATCATATTTAAATAGTTTGCGGTCGTCTTTACAGTCATGCCCTTTATGGGTAACCCTGTAGGCTGTATGTCACACTTTTGGGCAAACAATCTGCATCTTCCAATCTTCCAATCTCGATGTGCGTCATCTCAATGTGCGTCCTCTCAATATGCGTCCTCTCAATGTGCGTCATCTCAATGTGCATCCTCTCAATATGCGTCCTCTCAATGTGCGTCATCTCAATGTGCATCCTCTCAATATGCGTCCTCTCAATGTGCGTCATCTCAATGTGCATCCTCTCAATGTGCGTCCTCTCAATGTGCGTCCTCTCAATGTGCATTCTCAATCTACTGTCCTCAATGTGCATTCTCAATTTGTGTCCTCAATTTTCGTCATCAATGTGCATTTTAATTTTACATTCTCAATGTGCTTCTGCAATGTGCCTTCTCAATGTGCATTCTCAATGTTTCCAATGTGCATTCTCAATGTTTCCAATGTGCATTCTCAATGTGCGTCCTCCATGTGCATTCTCTAAGTGCGATTTCAATGTGCATTCTCAATGTTTCCAATGTGCATTCTCAATGTGCGTCCTCAATGTGCATTCTCTAAGTGCGTTCTCAATGTGCATTCTCAATGTGTATTCTCAATGTGCATTCTCAATGTGTGTTCTAAATGTGCATTCTAAATGTGCATCCTCAATGTGCATTCTCTAAGTGCGTTCTCAATGTGCATTCTCAATGTGTATTCTCAATGTGCATTCTCAATGTGCGTCCTCAATGTGCATTCTCAATGTGTGTTCTAAATGTGCATTCTAAATGTGCGTCCTCAATGTGCGTTCTAAATTTACCATTCTCTAAGTGCGTTCTCAATGTGCATTCTCAATGTGTATTCTCAATGTGCATTCTCAATGTGCGTCCTCAATGTGCATTCTCAATGTGTGTTCTAAATGTGCATTCTAAATGTGCGTCCTCAATGTGCGTTCTAAATTTACCGTCCTCAATGTGCATTCTCAATGTACCGTCCTCAATTTGCATTCTTAATGTGCGTCCTCAATTTGCGTCCAAATTATTTGTGCATCCTTGTATAGTACTCTGCAGTGACTACTGTATGCAAATATTAATGCTAGGTCCTGGTGGGAGGGAGAAAATGTTTGCGTTGAAAGAGAGGTAATTTTTAGATAAGATCAAATTCAAAACAAGTTTTTAAGTTGATGCATTTAAATTATGTTTTATTGCAAACTATTACTGAACTATTGCGTAATTGCGTAAATGGAAATACGGCTTTATGCAACTGATTGGCGAGTTAAGATTTTAAAAAATAACGTTCAACTTGTGTTGTTCATCGTTTTGGTTTTTCTGTTGCTTTTTGATAAACTTTAAAATATCTTCATACAAATACATACATTTTCTGTCAAACTTTTAGAAAAAAAAATTAAAACGTTAGCCGTTTTTACACTTTGCCAAAAAAAAACCACCAAACATAGAATAGAACATTCCTTAGATTCATCCAGGTTCCCAAATCAAAATTTGAGGCAAATCGGTTCGGATTTATGATTGGACATACAAACAACCAAATATTTGGCAAATAGAGATTACTATTTTATAAATATAGATGATGTTAAAATAAATCTTTTTTTCTGGAATCTTAAATAGAAAATCTAACAAATTTATTTTACAAACAAGGATTGGAGGATATTGATGTAAACTACAGTTATACTAGAACTAATGTATATTGTCTAGGTTATGTCAGGTCTAGGATTTGAGGGTATTGATGTAAACTACAGTTAAACTAGAACTAATGTATATTGTCTAGGTTATGTCAGGTCAAGGATTGGAGGGTATTGATGCAAACTACAGTCATATTAGAACTAATGAATATTGTCTAGGTTATGGCAGGTCAAGGATTGGAGGGAATTGATGGTAAACTACAGTTATACTAGAACTAATGTATATTGTCTAGGTTAAGGCAGGTCAAGGATTGGATGGTATTGACGTAAACTATAGTTATACTAGAACTATTGTATATTGTCTAGTTTATGTCAGGTCAAGGATTGGAGGGTATTGATGTAAACTAGTTATACTAGAACTAATGTATATTGTCTAGGTTATGTCAGGTCAAGGATTGGAGGGTATTGATGTAAATTACAGTTATACTAGAACTAATGTATATTGTCTAGGTTATGTCAGGTCAAGGATTGGAGGGTATTGATGTAAACTACAGTCCTGGCACGAATATACAATTACAGGTTAAATATAAATCTAGTACATGAATCTTCAGAGCTGATAGTTTGTTTGTAGGAAAGTTGTTGCGTTTTCCTTCCAAATAATATTAGCATCGCCATGTAAATACTGTAATTATGAACTCTTATCTGTTTGTATTTAATCTATTTAATCCTTATTTGCCGTTTGATACGAAAATGTGTTTTTACATTTTATTTGTTGTCTAGACAACAAATAAAAGCACAGATCAGGTTTTCACTTTCATGCATTTCACTCCGTATTGTTGTTATAAATTCACTGAGGTTTGGTTTGGATAAGACCGAGGCCAAGTGTGCAGTGTGGTATCAAAATCATTAATTCATAACTAGGCATTGAGATAAGTCTGTCACGCCAAAATAAATAGTTGCTAAGGATTAGAAAACAGTAATTAGTTTCTTTATTCTTTAGATTTCTAAATGTGAGGATAGGGAAGGCTTTCATCAATGTAGTCAATCCATTCTAGAAGATGGAGAACTCAAAACAATCAAAACAACATTTAGGTATTCTACAAGGAAATCGGAAAAACCCCGTACATATTTAACTAGTTACATTGTTCTATTAAAGCTAGGCTGCAAGTTTCCTTACATTTTTCTGTTGCAGCTAGCCTGCCAGTTTTCCATAAAATGTTCAGCTAGCCTGCCAGTGTCCCATAAAATGTTCAGCTAGCCTGCCAGTGTCCCATAAAATGTTCAGCTAGCCTGCCATGTGTCCTATAAATTGTTCAGCAAGCCTGCCAGTGTCCCAAAAAATGTTCAGCTAGCCTGCCAGTTTTTTTAAGCTAGTGCGCTTTTTCATACTTTAATTACCTTAAACCGTTTTTTTTTTTTAATATGATCAGTTTATTCTATTGCTTTGGAGCTGTTATACATCTATCTGTGTCCTATGAAGTCTGTAATTCGCAATATACAGGGATAAACAGTAAACTCTAGAATAGACAGACGCCATTAAAACAATACTAAAGTTCATTTGATGCTGATGAATGCAAGTTATTTAATCACTAATTTAATGAAATGGTTCTGCTTACACTGCACAAACGCTAATCCTTATGTTCATATGACTATTTAAAGTCATAACTTGCGCCTTAAGTTTTAAATTCAATTTCCTATTCCAGAGTTTTCTGGTTTATAGCTGTATGTAGTGTATTCTGGTATTTCTATTTTATTTTAGAAACCAGTTTCTGAAAACTAAATTATAAAATTAATTGATTGGATCAATTAAGAGAATTATCCGAACTAATGAATGAAAATATACTTTATCAGAGACATAGTTTGAAATGTATGGAAAACACTGAATAGTACAATTGAAAAAATAATTGACTTATTATTCAATTTCTTTCTTTTAAATTTGTCAATTTGAATGTTTGGGATATCTTATAATTGAGAATAGGGTTTCCATTTTTCCGAAAAAAATTTCCACTTTGGAAATGGAAGGATCCGGAAATTTGTTGCGTAAACCAGAATTCCGGAATTACAGAACGCTCCGTAATTCCGGAACACCGTTCCGGAAATTTCCGACTTATGAAAAAAAATCGTTCCGGAAAATAATGAAAACGGAAAAAAATTCCGGATCATTTCCGTGCGCAAACTGTAACCCGGAATTCTGATGGAAACCCTAATTGAGAGTCTACAGTTTTGGGTTTTTACAGCATAGAAGAGCAAAACATGATCGAACATTGAATCCATCAAAAATCCCATTGAGACATTAAGATTTTCGGAAGATAAAAAGTACAGTCTAAATATAAATGATAAACTTTTAAAAGTTTTAAAAATGGCAGAACTAATTTGATTCAGTTTTAAAAGTTTTTTATAAGATTTATTTAAAGATTCGAGTTTCAGAAAAACTCTTCTTAAGAAGATGCCTAAATTAACAAAGGAGAAATTATCACTGTATTTATTTTCAATGTCTAAATTAAATTAAACATATGTTTTCAATCATTGAAGTTATTGAGAGGATAAAAGTTTAGAATTTCTTAATTTATTTTTTTTACAAAAAATAAGTAGATTTAAAGCTAGAAAAGGTCATAAAGTCGTAACAGCAAGGTCACATTTTAACTTTCTCCTTCTAGTTCAGTGTGCTCTGCAATGAGATTTAGAATAGTACAGTCGTCGTCGCACATATCAATACAATGAAGACGACAGTCGATTTTAATTTAAATATATATCAAGCTTTTAAACAGATGAATACACAGACACATTGAAACAAAGAGAAGCTGTCAACTAAAAAAGCTTCTCTTTAATAACTTGTAAACTTGCAATAGGGAAAAAAACTTGTAAACAATCAAAACTTAGATAAAAAAGTTGCTATCATTGTATTGAAATGATACCACTGTATCGACACCAATTTCCCCATAGATTAATACAGATAGAACACTATAATTATGCGTTTGCTTTCTCTCAGTCTTGTCATTCAACGCGTAACTTCTTTGAGCCTCTGCCTCATGGTAATTGTGAACTAAAAAATCCTAAATCTTGAAAAGACAAAATTTATCCTGCTCAATCTGTATTGATACTAATCTATGAATTCCCCTTTCCTATTCAGAAAGTATAGAATTCGAATATCCCCTGAATTGTATTCTCTTGTTTCAGTTGCTGCCACGGATTCAAGCTGACAGACAACAATCTTTGTGAGGAATTTGATATCAGGTCAGAGTTAAAATAAAATAGAGATTTCAAATAATTAAAGACAGAAGTCTTGCCACAATTCTAATCCCTATATTTTGAAAGCCAATGTCGTTATAGAACTTTGAATTCGGTTAGATCTAATAATTTGAAATATGAAAAGTCTATACCACACTCGAGATATTTTACTGCTAATCAGCTTTAATCAGCTAATCAGCTGGGTTAAGTAGGTCTATAGTCGTACCGGCACCACATGCTATGTTCTTACAAAAGGTTTTTGACTGCCATTTAAATATAATACCCGGCCATTCAGTGGTTACGTTTTACAATTTATTAAGAAATAATCTAATTTTAACCTTAAAGTATCTTAAAGCACTAGGCTTTTCTATTTCAATTGTGAACATGTTCTCTTTGCATACATTGTGAAACAAAAACAAAAATTTCGCGGATTTTCAAAATTTCAAAAATCGAATTTTGTTAGTAGCAATTTTTTGAAAATTCGATCATCGACAAACCTTCCCTGGGGTCACGCGAGGTCCCACATAAAATTTGGGCCGGATCGGTTCAGCTGTTTTGACGTTTATTGGATACAAACCAAACAAACACCCAGACAAGCAAAGTATATATTTAGATTAATGTAGTTCCTTGACAGAGAGAAAATTTAAAAATTTTCTGATATTTTTGTAAAACTGCAGATTTTTCATAAAATTTGGATAATTTGGCTTTTATGTTTTTATATTTTGGTGTGCTATTTTTTTTGTAATGATCCCACACATGTGAGGTTGAGGTATCATGAGAGGTCCCAGAAAAATTTTTGCTCACCATTTGTCTCGACATTTAAAGTAAAATAAGATAAAATAAGATAAAGTTTATTGCTAAAATACATGTATCTGTGTACAGAACGAGTTTACAATTACAAATAGATGATTATATTAACAAGTATAAAGCAACTAGGTGGAAAAAAGCTCTTGGCTGTTTTGATTATTTTTTCCACCTAATTTTAATAATAATAACAAAACATTTCAATATGAATATTTCTTCTAGGCCTACTGAGGAAACAATTGCAGATCTTGAAGGAACTGATTTCTTAGCTTTAATCAGGTAAACAAGCAATACAAGTTTTTAATAATCTATACAATAAATTTTGATCATTTATATATTGCTGCAACTGGCAAAACGGCTGAACCAAATTGACTGATTTTTTTTTGGGGGGGGGTCATGGTGGGGGTGACGAGGGCTAAAAATATGAAAATTTTCAAAATTCCACGGGCAACCCCGGACAGCGACTCAAATTATAAAATGTTAAGTGAAGTATTTTAAAATCCATTTTTTTAAGCACAAAAACTTAGAAACTGTATTTTCAATAATTTTGGCATAAGTTTATAAGGTTTATCATTATCTTTTAACATTTGCCATTGAATTTTTGAAATTTTGAAATTAAGAATGACAATTTGCTTGTTTACAGTGAAGAGAATCTTTTAAAAGAGCTGGATAATTCAACAATATTCATGCCTAACAATCAGGCAATTCATGCTTTCAAAACAGGTATTCATGCGTTCAAAACAGTTATTAATGCGTTCAAAACAGGTATTGTTGCATTCAAAACAGCTGTATTCATGCATTTAAAACAGGTATTAAGGCATTCAAAACAGATATTCAGGAATTTAAAACAGGTATTTACGCATTCAAAGCAGGTATTGATGCATTTTAAACAGGTTTTCATGCATTTATAACGGTAATAGTACAAACATCGGACCCACAAACGTCGTATGGTACAAAGGTTGGACAGTACAAACGTCGGACTTACAAACTTCGAACTAGTACAAACGTCGGACTGGGACAAACGTCGGACCAGTACAAACTTCGGACTAACAAACGTCGGACTGGTACAAATGTCGGACTGGGACTAATGTCGGACTATAGTAACAAACGTTGAACCAGTACAAATGTCGGACGGGTACATTTATAAGGAAAACCGTCGGGCTTTGGTTGAGTTTGAAAGAAAGACAACTATGAAAAGAAATAAATTAAAAATCACTCACTTACTGGGATAAAAATAAAAGATAACTGAATAAAGTCTCAACCTTTTTTAACGGATTATGATTCCTATATTCTTGCAACCCGATGTTGTATAACTTTTGATATTTAAGCCGTCGAAAAGATGTAGGGTTAGGAAAATTTTATTTTGTGGAAAAAACTGTCTTTAAAGCTTTGTTAATTTTAGAACTTGCAAAGATGGAGATACATGGAGGGAATGAAGAAGTTGTCTACAACATTGACGACGGTCTTCTACAGTACAGGTACATTTCATCAGGGGGCCTTAAAGGGACTGTACAGTAGTGGTACATTTCATCAGGGGGACCTTAAAGGGACTGTACAGTACAGGTACATTTCATCAGGGGGGCCTTAAAGGCACTGTACAGTACAGGTACATTTCATCAGGGGGACCTTAAAGGGACTGTACAGTACAGGTACATTTCATCAGGGGGGCCTTAAAGGGACTGTACAGTAGTGGTACATTTCATCAGGGGGACCTTAAAGGGACTGTACAGTACAGGTACATTTCATCTGAGGGACTTTAAGGGGACTGTACAGTACAGGTACATTTCATTAGAGGGACCTTAAAGGGACTGTACAGTACAGGTACATTTCATCTGAGGGACTTTAAGGGGACTGTACAGTACAGGTACATTTCTCCAGGAGACCTTAAAGAGACTTTACAGTACGGGTACATAGCATCAGGGGGACTTCAAAGCTGGACTGTTGATCCAACTTCAAGTTGTTCTTTATTTCAAGAGATAAATTCCCAATTTTCCTGATATATCCTTTTTTAAACAATTTAATATATTTTTAATTTTGAATTTTATAAATTGGGTACAGTTAATACAGAAAAATTCTAGTTTCAAGTTTGATTATTTTTGTCATCAAAAGTAAAATAAAGTCATTTAATATGTAAGGATGAACTCCTGATGATGCCAAAGTTTTTGGTGAAATATATTGAGAAGAAAATTATGTAATTTTAGTAATAGAGAGTAGGGTTGGGATTTGTTTAAAAACGATCTAAAGTTAAAAGGGCTTGTATCTCTTAGTCTATTTAAAGGGATTGTATCTCTTAGTCTATTTAAAGGGATTGTATCTCTTAGTCTATTTAAAGGGATTGTATCTCTTAGTCTATTTAAAGGGATCGTATGCCTAATTTAAATTGACCCTTCCAGTAAGAAAAAAATACGTTTACATTTCAAATAATTTCCTATATATACTCATTTTTAAATAAAATTTTGCAGGGTTTTGCTACAAATCCTTTGTTGCTATATTTCAGCTAACTTATTGTAAATATCATTGATTGATTTTTGATTAGTTTATTTCACTGTGTTCGAAATGTCAGTATATCAAATTTTTTTTTGACACACTGCACACTAGATTACTTTGAAACAGACTGTTTATGAAATTAAAAAATGAAAATTAAGAATTATTTCATTAAACTTAATAAAAAAAAATTCATTTAAGTATCTACACCAAATTATATTACTTTATACTTGTGTGTGAAAATAAATCTTAGTAATAATAATAATAATTTTATCTAATTAGAAAAAGAAGAAGTGCAGATATTATTATACATGAGGAGATGAAACTTAAACAAATTCTGCTCAGTCATATCTCACCGACCATTAACAATCTAAAGGTAACAAAAAAGAGATTAAGCCTGATTTAAATATGATGAAATATTCAACACCACCTGTAGTAAACTCCTAACTAGTTAGTTCCTAAAAGTTTAAGGTTTTCGCATTTTTTTTTGTTCTGAGACTTGATATAGTTGTCGTCGTATATATCAATACAATGAAGACGACTATCGATTTCAATTTTTATTTCTACAGTATGGATACACATGAACTTGGAAACTAAGAGAAAAACTGGCAATTACCAGTTTCTCTTTGTTTACATGTAATTTGTAATTTGGAAAAAGTTTAAATTGAAAAGTCGTCTTCGTTGCATTGATAAAAGCGCCGACAGCTGTATAGGAAAAGTGGCGAGACAATATTCTAAATGCTTTTATTTAAAAATACTCAAAAAAGTTAGACATTATAATTTCAGTAATTAATTTTCAATCACCATTTGTTCAATACAATTACAACAATTAGCTTTGAGTTAGTTTATCATAATTTTTATTATTCTGAGCCTTTTGTAAATATTGTCTACTTAAAAAATAAATGGCTAAACTCACTTTTTTAAAAAAGGGCCGTGCTACATCTGTTAAAACATTGTTATATAACGTCAGCCTGTCTGACGCTGAACTTGACATTGAAATCTTGTAATTTTTTGTGATTGCTGATTGCAAAATTGTTCAAACCTTGAGTTTTGTATGCAACACAGCGTAACAGCTAGAATGCAGTAAATGCACTTATTATATACTAGTTTCTTCATTTGCAATAAGGATAAAACGTTGTAATTAACAGAATATTGTGGGGGGGAGGTTGCAATTATTTTGCAATAATTAAACGAGTGTTTAGCACAGAAGTAGAAAGGAAAGTCTCAAGAAAATGAAAAAATAGATTTAATGAAACTGAGATCGTACTTTTTATTTAAAGTATCGATAATTTTGAACGCTTGATCTCGATATTCAATATGGACACTTTAAATTTGAGGATCAGGCATTTGTCTCCATCTAATAAAATGTTTACCGATATCAAGGGTTCAAGATTAACGATATTCACACAAAAGTTCCGATCAAATTTTCCTTTACGGCTTGTTTAAGAAAATGTGGCTAAAACTAACAAATGAAATGAGTCTTTGGCAAAAACTCAAATTTTTTAAGCCTCATATCTTTGCAAGCCGATGTTGTAATCATTTGATATTTCTAAAGCTAAAATTATTTCATAGTTTAAAATAGTCTACAACATTGGATTGCAAAGATATAGGGATTAGAAAATTAGAGATTGTGACAGAAACTCAATTTCTTTTTTTATGAAATGCACAATTCAGGCTTATAGTCAAAAAGTTTTACATTTAAAAATTAATTTGATAATACGTTTTTTAATTTGCTTTGTGTTGCATTTACTATTATAAAGTGCTTAATTACATTTAATATAAAGTGCATTGTACAGAGTGCATAATTACATTTAATGTAAAGTGCATTGTATAGAGTGCATAATTACATTTAATTCAAAAGTTTTATTGAAAAGGATCAAAATATGAATTTGTTTTCTTTTGGATTAGTTTTGTTGTAATCTGGAACGGATTAGGAATACCTTAGAATTTACGTATATATATATATATATAGAAAATGCAGCCAGCGCTCTATATAATGAATCAAAGCAAACGGGAACAGGCAGTGCACAAAGAACCTTAATAGTAGAAAGACTTATACATAGATATAATCTTCTACCTTAGGTAAGTGCAGCTCCCAAGTTACATTGATTCATAATTCAGACTATTAACATAATATAGCCTGATAAATACAGTCAACTATCAATAGCTAGTTATAGATATCTATATTTATACATACAAGCAAGGATACATATAATTCGGCATAGCTAAACTAAATACATAGCTCCGCAGAATTAATAGCTCCGCAGAGTTAATAGCTCCACAAAGCTAGCAGCTCCGCAACATTAATAGTTCAGCAGAGTTGATAGCTCCGCAAAGTTAATAGCTCCGCAAAGCTAAATAAGGAAGCCCCATAACGCTAGGCAAGACCAATAGCTTAGTGAAAGTTATATATATATATATAACCAATCTTGGATAGTTCCTAATTGTACTAATAGCTAAGTAACAAATATACCATAAAGTTATTAAAGCTTTCTTATAGGTGAAGATGTCTAGATTCTTCAAGTACATCGAACATTGTCCAAACGTGGCTGGACCCCTTCCGGATGATGTAACGGAAGGAGACAGTGACGGCGAATTAGAGTTAGAGACACTGTTCATCTCTGATAGCTCTACTGAGATAGTGACTGCATCCATAGAGATAGTCACAGTTCCACCCTCAGACGATGAAACTGAGGAATTGGAAACAGGTGTTCCCGCCCTCACTGCTGCAGAGGTGTCCGAGAGCTCCGGAGATGAGGGAGAGTATGGAGCAGATGATGAGAGAGATGAACTGGATGGAATAGGAGCAGAGGAGAGGAAGTCCCAGCAGGGGGATGATGAAGAGGTTCCTAACCTGGAAGATGTCGGAGAAGAAGAAGACAAGTTCACCAAGATGTGGAGAGCACTGGGCCTGCAACCAGACAAGGGACAGGTGGACTTGGTGAAGGAGAATAGGCAGAAGGTGCGGGGCCGGATTGATGCTATATGGCAGGAGTTACGCCTAGTAATAATAGAAGCATTTGAGAACAATGGTGGAATGCTCTACAGCGAGGAGGAGCATCATCTCAAACAGGAATTGGCGCTTGTCCCCAATATGTCTCTCATCTTGGAGCAGCGGCTGGAGCTGTTACAACTCTTAGCCATGGAAGTCGAGTTCAGTCCAGAATATTAATATCCTAAATATATAATATGGAATCAGTAAACTTAGATTAATAAATATGAACTAAGAGAGTCAATTATTGCCTTTTAAATTCTGCTGTCGACCGAATAAAACTCGGGGTTTACAACAGTTTTCATACGTGAATCGTAAAATGAATTAGTTCTGTAGGTTTTGGAGTAATTTCCTGCATTCTATAAACATCATTTCTTTTTCTTACTTATCTTAAATTCCTTAATTTCCAACATTATATCAGCTACTTTGTAGAAAATCGAATCTTGTGATCAAAGTTCACGAATGGTCCGTGTTTGTATAAAAGCCTTTTTGGTTAAAAATTCTTATATATTACGTAATTGACACACACATATCATGTCCCTATTTTCATTAAAATTTTGACACACAGTTTAAAATTCTGAATTTTAAATCAATCATATCCCTTTTTTAAAGCTTTATGACTAACAACGATGATATTTGTTGATATTATTGATTTGGTACATAAGCAGATGTTGCTTGATAAAACCATTCTATTTGTAATTGACATGTAATTGTTGAATTAAGCAAATTTTGCTAATTTATTTTTTTACATACACTTTATTTTTGCCAAAAAAAGCTTTCTATATCTATTGGAATGATCCAGACTCTTGATTTTGAAAAGCAAGTTATTCAGCGGTCTTAAGCGAACGTTTTATATGTATCAAATGAATTCTATTTTTTATTCTGTAATACTTTTCTCTCAGTTCAATTACTAGAGATGTCAACGTTTTGATTTTTCTAGATTTTAGCTTTCGTTACGATAGTGTTCATCAAAAGTATTAACGTTTGAAACGTTACGTTGCACATTATGAAATTTGATGGCATAGAGCAACGTTACGTAATGAATTTTCTGCACTTGAATACCTTATACAACGTTAAGCTTTAGTAAATGTTATTGAAACAGTAAGCTCCGTTACGCTTTTGCATTTGATGGTTTAAAAAACTTTCCCAACGTTGCGTTAATGCTTATGTAATATAACCACAATTTTTTAACGTTCCACTTTCATGCAAGGTAAATATTTTCAGAGACCTTACGTTACACTTTCACTTGGTTTACGATCTAAAAGATGACAAACGTTTTGCTTTGATAAAACGTCATTGGGGCATAGTTCTGTACGTTACAATGCATTTCAGTGCAATGAATATTTTTTGTTACGTTACGTTTTATCTTAACTTTTCCAATATAAACTCTTTTAATTACGTTCAGAAATTTTACTTAAATGCACCTTTTCTTACGTTACGATTTATCGAAACGTTATTGTGAACACTTTTTTGTTACACTTTTTTACAACTGACAATCAAAACTGTTTATTCGTTTCGTTTCTAAGAAAGATTAGAAAAAATGTTCTATACGTTGCGTTGTATTAAAATGTTAAAGCCTTAATGTTTCTAACGTTACACTTTATTAAATTAATATTGTTTCTAAATGAAAGCATTGAAAGATTTTTTCCGTGATAATTACATATTTTTACTCACCCTGTATGTTGCTGTTGTATTGTTAACCTTTTTAGAGAATGTGCTGAAGAATATGCATTATGCAATTTAAAGATGTTATTATATTATTATGTTTAACGATTTTTAAAATGTGTAAATGAAAGTTTTTAGCATTAGACTTTCAACTCATAGTGTGTTTTAAAGGGACTAGAGACGTAATTTCAAGTGACCTTCCATTTATGGAGTGGCATGTCCATTGTCCAGTAGGGGTGATCAATATTGGAATAGAGCCAACCGCCCACCGGAAGTCGCTGCGTTTTCATCGTAAGGCCACAAAAAAAAATTATTTTTTATTTTCATGTTATACATCATTTTCTTGGAAATTCAATGCTAAATTCAAATCTGAAAAGCATTTAAAAAATTGAAAATTAAGAAAGTCAGAGCTAAAAAACTCATCAAAAACATTAAAAAGTTTAAAAACCGGAATTTAGTACAGTTATTTGGCCATAACTTCTTATAACTTCTTTAGATTTTAATATATTTAAAAATGGTTTTCGAATCTGAATTCAGCATGACATTTCCAAGAAAATGATGTATCATATTTATTTTTTGCAAGATACGAGACAGGAAAACACTCCTAATTTTCAAATCATCAATCAGATAAAGGTATACAAGTTATCATTGGGAATCGAGCATGGCCCTCTTTAAATGATGGATCACTTGAAATTATCATCGTGTATTTGACGAGCTTAAAAAATAGACTGTTTTTGGACACTTCATAAAATGAGTTAAAATTCGGCAAGGCAAACAACTTTTGCATGAGGAACAGTAATTCTAAATAATTTAAATTAGTTTAGGGTTAATTTTTTCTTTTTTACGCAATGCAGACTGATCCTTGTCTTCAATCTAACAGAAGTCATAGTTTAAAATATCTAAGGTCTACAACATTGGTTAGCAAAGATATAGAGATTAGAAATATAAGTTTGTGAACAACTCAATTCCTTTAGACATTCTTATCTAACAGAAGTCATAGCTTGAAATATCAAAAGTCTACAACACCAGCTTGCAAAGATTAAAATTTGTGGTGAATTTTTAGTTCTTTTTGTGTTTTTTTTATGTTACTTACAAAGTGAGTAAAAAAGCGACATTAGCTTTAGTTTTAAAACCACAATGAAAATGTTTTCAGAGTTCATATTTGGGGTTAAAAATATCAAATATAGTAAGACAAATGCTAAATTTTTTTTAACACAAACAACGCGAAATAAAATTATTTAACATTTTTTTCTTTTTAAAAAAATCGATTAAAAATCAGTTTTCTTTTCTATTCTAAAGTTTCATAAAAATCTATTGATGAATAAAACATAACACGCATTTTCCATTTGATAAAATATTTTTACATTTCTAAATTTTTCAACCTAAAACATGAACCATGCCAACTGAAGTTATGATTTCAAGTAGTCAAATAAACATGAAATTTTGTTTGTTCACAGACCCGTTCCACTTGATTGCAACTTGATAAGTTGATTTTTTTGCAATTAGTAAATTATTTGCTTGTTAACAGAAAATGCATTTGTAAAATTTCTTAATGTCGTATTTCTTTTCCAGAGTTTTAGTGAGTTCCATTAAGCAATGGCAAATCAAAACCTTTAATGTCCAAGAAACATTTATAAGATTTGAATTTTCACTAATAGCATGTTACAAAAAACTCGTTTACACTTTAAAAAGGAACTAAGTTTTTTTTTCTAATTCACTAATCCCTATATATTTCTAACCCGATGGTTTAAACCTTGTATATTTCAATATTAATGGTCTACGAGATCGGGTTGCAAAGATATATTAAATGAAAATTAGAGTTTTTGGCATAAACTCATTTTCTTTCAACTTGAAATGAAACTTATAATCATCAGTCGAATCTCTTACATTGATAGATTAGAGACGTTTTGAAATGTTTTGATTGACAGAATTATTGTTACACTTTTGAAATTAAAACTCAGCCCTCATATAGTCTAACGTTTTATGAACAACATTTTAATCAGACATATATCTAACGTTAGACTAATCAATTTAGTATTCAGAGAAAAGTTATGAAACGTTTTGATTTACATAATTACATTTTTTAAAATGTTATACGTTACATTATTGAAATTTTACTCTGTAAAAAAAACTTTCGTTTCCTGATTATTAAAATAATAACCCATTTCTGCAACGTTGCATTGTTCATTATACTATGAGGGAAAACGTTTCAAAACGTTTTCATAAACAGTAATGCATTTTTCAGTTATACAACGTTACACTTTTTATAAGTTGAACTTTGAAATAGAAATCCTTTCGTTACGATATTCAATCAAATCACGATTCATTTTTCAAACGTTAGACTTTCAAGCTCCCTTCTGATACAAAACATTTCTTTACGTTATGGTCAAAAAAGTTGTAGATAATGAAGGAAACTTAAAAGAGAAAAGATAAATTTTTAATATCATGAAGGGAACTTAAAAGAGAAAAGATACATTTTTAATATCATGAAGGAAACTTATAAGAGAATGAAGGGAACTTGAGAAAAGATAAATCTATATAATAAAACAACACGTTACAAACTGCTGGACCGATTGGGCTGACATTTTTTAAGAATAGCAAAAATTAAAATTTTTTTTCAATTTTTCTTTCTTTATTTTTTTTTCAAGAAATTAAGAGAAGGCCAAATCTAATTGGAAAAAACTTTGCGACTTCGTAGCTCCTCTAGTTTTGATTTAATTACATTTTATAAATTCAAAATGCAATTTGTTCTTCTCAAAAGTTCTACTATAAGATGAATTATGACTAAAAATATTCAAATCTAACATAAATTATACTTTAATTAAAAGTGTAATGCAAGTAAAATGTCAATATATGAAAACGGCGTGAATAGCTTTTTTTACCTACGTTTTTTTAAAGTAGGGTTTAAAAACTTTTTGTTCAGGATTTTTCTGACAATGAATTGCTGGTGTCTAAAGCTGAAGGAGGAGGTTCTATCAGGTTCTTTATAAACTATACAGGGTGTCTCAGTAAAAATGGGCATTTAGAAAAAGGGGCAATTTTTTATAGTGTTTCATCTCCAAGGTTTTTTCATGCAAATATGGAACTCTACAGCTCCTAGAATATGGAGCTCTGCAGCTCCTAGAATATGGAGCTCTATAGCTAATAGAATATGGAGCTCTAAAGCCCCTAGAATATGGAGCTCTACAGCTCCTAGAATATGGAGCTCCACAGCTCCTAGAATATGGAGCTCTCCAGCTCCTAGAATATGGAGCTCTACAGCTCCTAGAATATGGAGCGCTACAGCTTATAAAATATGGAGCTCTACAGCTCCTAGAATATGGAGCTTTACAGCTCCTAGAATATGGAGCTCTGCAGCTCCTAGAATATGGAGCTTTACAGCCCCTAATATATGGAGCTCTACAGCTCCTAGAATATGGAGCTCTACAGCTCCTAGAATATGGATCTCTAGAGCAAAGTGAATAAATACTAAAGTGGAACAGACTAAGGAAACGACGACAGGTTGGGCCATAAGGGTTTATTTGGTTTGGAAATAATTTCAAGAAAAGATTTCGTTTGGAAAGTAAAGACTAGAAAAAAAAACTAAAGACCCATGTAAATGTCGTCTTCAGATAGAACTTCGAAATTTTCACGATTTAAAATCAAAATTTTTTGTACGTTTCCATGTAGTTTATATGTAAATACTATTTAGTCGCTTAATCAATTCATTGATTAATTTGCCTGGCACTTCTAATTCTAAAGGAATTTATCTTTAAAACTGATTAGTTTTGTTTCAAATCTCACTAATTGTGCAGTAAAATGGCTAAAATTCACTTCTGAAATCTTAATTTACGTTAACTTATATTTAAGTTAAATACAAATTCTAAGTCTGTGTTTGTAAACAAAGGGAGTCCAGCTTCTGTTGCACTGTACACTCCGTATACAGACCAATTTATATATATATATATATATACATATTTCTATATACTTGGGACATAAAATGTCGTCATCCAACTATGAGTATGGTCCACTTTAGTATTTATTCACTTTGTCTCTAGAGCCCCTAGAATATGGAGCTCCACAGCTCCTAGAATTTTGAGCTCTACAGCTCCTAAAATATGGAGCTCTACAGCTCCTAGAATATGGAGCTCCACAGCTCCTAGAATATTGTTCTTTAAAGGACTGTACGCGTAATGTCAAGTGACCCTCCATTGACGGAGCTGTTTATTCGATTCACAACAGTACCCTTAAAAGCCTTAAGAAGGTGTGAGATATCTTTGTCTTGATTTTTAAAAACTAATTTATGGTTTCTCTATAAAAGTGACAATTGTACATTTGTTGCTTCATAATTGTCCAGGGTTCAATGTTTTAGATTATTTTGACTGAATGGTCCACTTGCTTCCGACCTTTTTGATACACCCTATGTCATTCATTAAAGCCTCTTCATTCCTGTTTTTATTGGGACATACTGAATAAAATATTAAACGCATTGAATATCTATAATCGAATAATAATATCCAAAACAATTATTATCTGAAAAAAATGCGAAGGGACAATGTGACAAAAAAAACATCTTAATTTTTTATATCAATTCTTTGTATAACAGTACAGTCGTCGTCGTTATTATAAAAACAATGAAGACGACTTTAGGTTTTAATTTTTTATTTTTACCAAGCTTTCAAACAGCATGGATACACATATAACATGCATACAAAGAGAATATATCAAGTAAAAGCTTCTCTTTGTTCACTTGTAAACTTATAATTTGAAGAAGTTTGATAGAAATGAAAACTTTAATAGAAAAGTCGTCTTCATTGTATTGATATAAACGCCCGACAACTTTATTAGGATGAGTGTATACAACACCTTTCCTGAGAAGATTGTTCTAGCAAACTGTGCTCTCATCATTTCAAAGGTTATTTTCTCTTATTATATTATAAAGTGATTAATTTTTGAAAATCAGAATTTTTTACGTTTTACATTAGATCAGCATTCAGCAAAACTGATTTTTATATTTGAGAAAAGTAGAAAGGCGACAATGTATGATTTTTAGGGTATTTTTTAAAAAAAATTCAAAACATTTGTTAATTTAATTTTAATCCTGTCTATAGTGCCTATGAAGATCAGGGGGTGCAATATTTCTCAATATTTTCAAGAGACTGGCCTCATACTGCTACTGTAATATTTACTTCAGGATCATCATACTACACCTGCAATATTTACTTCAGGATCATCATAATACTACTGTAATATTTACTTCAGGATCATCATACTCCAACTGTAATATTTACTTCAGGATCATCATACTACAACTGTAATATTTACTTCAGGATCATCATACTACTACTGTAATATTTATTTCAGGAACATCATACTCCAACTGTAATATTTACTTCAGGATCATCATACTACTACTGTAATATTTACTTCAGGATTATCATACTACACTGTAATATTTACCTTATCCAAAAATAAATTATTAAAGTTAAAAAAACTTCAGGATCATCATACTACTACTGTAATATTTACTTCAGGATCATCATACTACTACTACTGTAATATTTATTTCAGGATCATCATACTCCAACTGTAATATTTACTTCAGGAACATCATACTACACTGTAATATTTATTTCAGGATCATTATACTAGAACTGTAATATTTACTACAGGATCATCATACCACACTGTAATATTTACTTCAGGATCATCATACTACAACTGTAATATTTACTTCAGGATCATCATACTACAACTGGAGTTGTTCACGTTGTTGACCGTGTTTTCCAGCCTGCATCACAAACAGTAGGTAATAAACTTTTGAAGAATATTATTAATCAATATTCATCAATCTTTTAGATATCTTACTTAATAAATCCCCCCCCTCTATTTAGATATAAAGTATTTATATAATTGAATTTTTACTACAGATTCTGTTTTTATAATCCCTTTATCTGTGCAACACAATATCCTGATCTTAGAGAATTCAAACTAGTAATTCTGTAAAATCAAAATAATTTAATTTTGAAATATAAACAGTTGTACATCATCAAGTTTTAAATATATATTGGGATTGAAAAATTTGAGTGAGTTGCAAAGACTCAATTTCTTTACAGAAAATATTTAAAATTCCCAAAAAAAACTACTTCAGTATTCACTGCAGTGGTTAATTATTTGAATTAATTACTCATCTCACTCTCATGCTTTATTCGCCTTTCCCTATATTTGCAAGTTTATCATGTAAAATTGATATTCAAGATCTTGACTGTTTTGAAATATCAAAGGTCTGCCACATGCGGGTTAGAAAATTATAGTTTGAGTTAAGTCACTTTTTTTTTGTTGCTTTACTTCCAAGGGAAGGAGCTCACATTTTACTATTTAATTAAAGGATCAGCCCCCATATAACCCCACCTCACCCATTATAAACGGACAGTTCTCAGTATGCCCTTGCTTTCTTGATAACACGTTTGTGTGGTTGTAAAATGAAAACTTTAAAATTCGTGCAATTCTTCTACGTTTATTTTTTCCCCACGTGCCCGTCTTTATTTCAATTTCAAAGGGAAAACTTTTATTGAACTCCTTTGAATTCGTTTTAAGTGCATCAAAACTTGTGTTAAATGTGAAACAACGTGTGTTTAACTGAGATTACAGATAGATAGGACATGAGAGAAACTTTTAGTTTGGCAATGTTTAGGGTATTATGACATTTCATAGACAGGCCATTTCACTGAGCAATGCAAAAATTCATCTTCAGCTAGGTGCACTGAAAGAAGGAGTTTAATCCCTCGTGGGTATACAAGCCATTAACAATGCCGGTTTTTTACTCGGCCAGATGTGAGGAATAGACTTCTACGGAAGATTTCTCTCAAGAAAAATTTCAGGGCTCGTCACTCTCTATTTTGCATAAGGGTTGCAGTTATGGGTTTTCCTTAATCCCCTAACTCGGAAAGAGTATAATAAAGACAAACAACAGGGAGCAATCCCCTATATCCTTCCTCCTACAAACCTCCTTATCTCTCTCCTACCTGCTCCACAACTCGATTTCAAAAGAACTAGTTGGAAAGGCCTTAAAGTGTAAAAACAAGAAAGAAGAAGAAAACTTTGAACACAGGATGGCAGACGTCACAGCCATGCCCTCTATGTATTCCTACTCGAAATAAAACATCCTGGAAAATGTGTAGAACAGCTGACTCAATCAAAATATGAAAGCCTATCTCTTAATATAATGGGAATAAATCACGCTTAATTTCAAAACAAAAGCCTCCGACCATCAAAATTGATAGGCTGGATGTTGTCTTTCTCTATCAATCCTAGTAATCCCAGACACAAAGGATACAAACTTGATAAACTTAAGTTTAAATTGTTTACATTTTTATAGCAGACTGCAGTACAATATCTAAAAGAACATTCACAATGTTGTCCTGTCTATGTCATCTGTGATCTAAATTGCATTAAATTAATTTAATTTGAGTTTGAAAATAAGTTTTCATTTTGTTATTTCTCATGGTTTATAAACGTGATCTTTTCAGGAGAAATTCTGTCTGAAGATCTTCAATTCCAGACCTTCATGTCCTCATTAGGAACTATTGAAATAGAAAAATAATACACCCTCCTCCCCCCCCCCCTCGCACGATACAAAAATATTACTCTCATATCATATGTCACCACGTGTTGTTAAATGAACAATAGTTCAAATCATGTACTTCACTGGACTTTTCGAAAAGGGACTGATCTAAATTCATTTTAGGTACCTTGGCTCAGGCTATTGTAAAAACAATCTAATTAAGCTCTGTAATTTAAAATTTCATCTTTCAACTAAGAATCTAAAAGTATTTCAAAATTTTTATTTCTTGATTGTAAAGATGCCACAACCTTAGCTCTATTAAACTCAACCAATCAATCAATCACTGTATTTGCTCCAACAGAGAAGGCATTCCAGGTAATTTCGTATTTGTCTCCAAGCTTTAGAGGCGCAATCGTAATATTTTGTAAAGGGGTGCAAACAAAATCTTCGAATAAAATTTTAGGATTTCGAATCTTGTTGGGGAAACATTTTGTCATTTTAAAACTTGTTTCAAGCTTTTAATGTAATTTATTACTTTTACAATCTGTTGACATCCCCCCCCCCCCTNCCCTTCGCCCCCATCTCCCAATTTAAAAAAGGCTACGTGAGAGTGGTTGCCGCCTGAATGACCATGTCCCCCCTTTTTCCAATCAATTAGCTGTGTATCATTATGTTTTTTTTTGTATTTACAAAATATGTTTACCAAGAATTAACTTTTGTCTAGATTTGATCAGAAATTTTTTTCTCAAAATGATAGATAAACTTTATTTTAAAGCCTCCTTTTATGGTAAATTAGCTCTTATCTGAATACACAATTGTTTTCGTTTATTTTTTAATGAACAATTTGTTTTAATAAGACGACCTTCAAACTTACCATTGGAGGTTTTAACAAATATAGACTACAGTTTTTTTGGACTTATATTACATAATTTCCAAAAAGCATTTCTTATAACAGGGGTAAAGGAGGGAAAAGGCTGTAAATAATATATTTAATGATTTCAAAATTGTTTGTTCCAGTTATTAAATTCTTAATATTTAAATGTCGTCGTAAAATATATATATACAAAGGACACTTTTATAGGATATGTCGATTTAATTATTTACGTATATTAATATTCACATTTGAAAGGTAAAAACGTTTAGTAATCATAACCCGATTTATTCTGGTGAACATTGTATGTTTTTGAGATTCCCGTAACCAAAAAGAAAATATAACTCATAGTATTTAGTATTTTCAGTAAAATTGAAAATGCACTGTATTCCAGGAACTATCTTCAATGGATAAGGAGAGGGTGCTAGACTCTGGATCCTGTGGAAACCATATTTTACAATCTCACATTCTCCCAACAGTAGTCTGCTCAGGAGCTGTATCTGGTCGTGTCAAGGTATACAGTAGTCTGCTCAGGAGCTGTATCTGGTCATGTCATGGTATACAGTAGTCTGCTGAGGAGCTGTATCTGGTCGTGTCAAGGCGTACAGTAATCTGCTCAGGAGCTGTATCTGGTCGTGTCAAGGTATACAGTAGTCTGCTCAGGAGCTGTATCCAGTATCTGGTCGTGTCAAGGTATACAGTAGTCTGCTCAGGAGCTGTATCTGGTCGTGTCAAGGTACAGTAGTCTGCTCAGGAGCTGTATCTGGTAATGTTAAGGTATACAGTAGTCTGCTCAGGAACTGTATCTGGTCATGTCAAGGTATACAGTAGTCTGCTCAGGAGCTGTATCTGGTCATGTCAAGGTATACAGTAGTCTGCTCAGGAGCTGTATCTGGTCATGTCAAGGTATACAGTAGTCTGCTCAGGAGCAGTATCTGATCGTGTCAAGGTACAGTAGTCTGCTCAGGAGCTGTATCTGGTTGTGTCAAGGTATACAGTGGTCTGCTCAGGAGCTGTATCTGGTCATGTCAAGGTATACAGGGTTGTGTCAAAGTATACAGGAGTCTGCTCAGGAGCTGTATCTGGTTATGTCAAGGTATACAGTAGTCTGCTCAGGAGCTGTATCTAGACGTGTCAAGGTATACAGTAGTCTGCTCAGGAGCTGTATCTGGTTATATCAAGGTATACAGTATTAGCTGTTAACTGTTAACTGTTGATTGTTATCTGTTAAGGTATCCAACCTCCTGAAAGAAACTGTAGATTTTAGACGAGATGAAAATGAAAAGGTGTATATAGAGAACAAGGAGCTAATTATCAAGGTATATAATTAAAGAAGATTAAAGGGATTGTTACCATATTTCCAACCGTATCTATATAGAGAACAAGGAGCTAATTATCAAGGTATATAGTTAAAGAAGACTAAAGGGATTGTTACCATATTTCCAACCGTATCTATATAGAGAACAGGGAGCTAATTTTCAAGGTATATAATTAAAGAAGATTAAAGGGATTGTAACCATATTTCCAACTGTATTTATATACAGAACAAAGTTCTAATTAAAAAGGGTTATATTTAAAAAGATTAAAGGGACTGTAACCGTATTTTTAAGTGACACTCTATTTTCTATTCACCTGTTCCTTAGTAACAATGAGGAAGATGTCGTCTTTGTTCTATCTTAGCATGTGTTAATTTCTTACAATGGCCTTAATCATGTCTGCAACAAATAAAAGTCAATAATCGTGCACCACTTAATAGAGATACACGAGTATAAAGTAACTCTCTCTTAATTGTACATGCCACTGCGGTAACCAAATAGTGAATTCTTTCAATGACTTTATTTACTTTATTTACTTCAATTTCTTTAATTATTTTAATTATTTTAATTATTTTAATTACTTTAATTGCTTTAATTACTTTAATTACTTCAATGTATTTATTACTTTAATTACTTCAATTATTTGTATTACTGTAATTTTTTTAATTACTTTATTAATTTAATTGCTCTATTTACTTTAATTACTTTAATTACTCTAACTACTTGAATTACTTAAATTATTTACATCACTTGCATTACTTTAGGTACTTTAATCACTTTATTTACTTTAATTACTTCAATTACTCTAATTACGATGGTAAGCGATTATATTAATACAATGAAGACTACTTTTTATTTAAGTTTTGATTGTTAAGAAGCTTTTTCGAATTACAAGTTTACAAGTAATCAAAGAGAAGCTTTTTTAATTGACAGCTTCTCTGGAATTTTATTTTCATGTGTATCAATACTGTCTAAAAGCTTAATTTAAATCAAAATTTAAATCGAAAGTCGTCTTTATTGTATTGATTTAATCGCCTACCACCGTACTTTAATTACATAAATTATTTTAATTACCTTCATTAATTAATAACTATAATTACTTTCATTACTTTCATTCCTTGAATTACTTTAATTACTTTAATTAATTTAATTACTTTAATTACTTTAATTACTTTAATTACTTTAATTCCTCTAATTACTTTAATCACATTAACTACTTTAATTACTTCAATTACTTTAATTATATTAATTACTTTAATTACTTTAATTACATTAATCACTGTAATTACTTTATTTAATTTAATTAATTTTAATTACTTCTTTATTTTAATATCTTATTTTACTTAATTACTCTATTTACAAATTAATCACTTGGCTTACTTGAAATACTTTAATTACTATAATTACTTTAATTACTATCTAGGATGTGGTTGGAACTAATGGTGTGATTCATGTAATTGAATCAGTTATCATCCCATCATCTGCAAAAACAGTAGAAGAAGAGTTGAAGAGAAGAAACGCAGTTAAATTCCTAGGTTTACATTTTTACATTTTAGACAGGGATATTCGAAATGGATGAGAGTTTAATAAGTTTAGAAACTTATGTTATAAATGTATAAAATTGTAGTCATCTGAATTTTTAAAGGGAGTGTTCGCGAAAGATGAAAGGGGGTATAGGCTTAATGCGATAAAAAAGCGCTTTTGATCGCCACTAATCTTACTTCTATCTGTTGCGTCTATAAGAAGAAATTTGTTAAAGACGTCTCATACCGAATAACTTAGCGCCCATACAAATTAAGAAAATTGCAACATATGACTTAGACCGTAAAAAATCAATTTAATCTCTAACAAATCATTCAGATATTACAACCTATAGTCATCGATTATCTTTCGCCACATTTGTATATAGTAAAGTAAATTCCACTTGCATTGGAAACCCTTACCTTTATTTCGGAAAAAAAGAGATGGATAGATAAGATTTCAAAAACATCTTTTTGTGGAAAAATCAAAAAAAGCAAATTGTTTTGATTATCAATCTGAACACCAAAACACTTTATTTTGGTCACATATCTTATCATCCATTCTTTAGCCAAAAAGTTTTAAATTGTCCTTATTTGCTTAGAACTGATAGAGAAAACTGATTTGAAAAATCAGCTAAACCACATGGAAAACTTTACTCTCTTCCTACCCTCGAACAAAGCCATGAATCAGGTATGTTGTACAGTACTGGTGAATGGGGTATGGGGGTAACATATGCTAAAAAACATAGGTTTAAAAAAATTAATTCACGGGAAACGCCGGGAACTTCAGCTAGTATTAACAATTTGTCTTACTTTAATTAATGTTTGATGAAGAGAATTTGATCTATCTAATAATACTTAATGACTGTCAATATAAATAACCGCATGTTAATAATAATAGCAACAATAAATCACCCTCTAAAGAATGAGGGAGGGGGTGTTTCTGCATAATATAAATGTTTTCGGAGCTGGAAACTTTTTAATGGTGGATATCGGGATTAATGCTTGATCAACTCTTTTTCTTCATCTCGAGATTAAATGATACTTGTTCTGCTCTTGTTATTAATCTCCAAATTAATTAATCGATTGGGATTAAGGATATTCCATTTTAAAGTTTTCAGCTCAGGATTTAGACAGATTTTAAAAAATGCAAAAGTAAGTCAGAAAAACCGATAAATATGCCTTTTTCTAACAGGGAAATATAGTCTCAAGAATTACCCCCTCCTCTCCCTCTGGATAAAAAAGCTATCATGACAGGTCTAAACGCTTCTCTGGGGATGTGATCTTAGGAGTGTAATTTATGTCTCCGACCCTCCGTAATTTGCGTAATTTGTTGTACCGTACACATATACAGACTATAGACAAAGCAAGCAGTACAGTACACATATACAGACTATAGACAAAGCAAGTAGTACAGTACACATATACAGACTATAGACAAAGCAAGCAGTACATTACACATGTACAGACTATAGACAAAGCAAAACGGGACAGTTTAACAAACGAATCATCTCATTCTAATAAAATAATGTGATGTATCAATACACAAGAATAGACAACTTTCTGGTAAAATCTTAGGAAATGTGAACAGCACATCACATGGACACCCAAAACATGAAATAAACAGAATTTTTTTATGTTTAATTTATATTATATTAAATACAATATACATATATAAAGTTGAAATCTGAACGAAATTCTTAATATCTCCACTCTAAGAAGTTTCAAGTTTTTTGTGTCTGTATAATACTGACTGCACAGCATAGGCAGACCACACTGCGGAAATGCTAGGACTAGAAGAATTTTTGCGTGAATCTTGTTTCAAAAATCATACACGTGAAAGCTGGTTGACAACTGAATGTCACAAATAAATCAAAGATCAAAGATGACTAACATTAGGAGAAAACACAAAAAAATATAAAATCTTAAATTTGTATACCAGATTTCTAGCGAGGATTTAGAGAAGATAAAGGAAGATGAAAATGAACTTAAGAAGATTATCCTTCATCATATTCTTCCTGGACCAGATGTTCAGAAAGAATTCACAAGGTTATATTATTATCATTAATATTATTGTTTTTTATTTTTATTATTATTTTGCATGCAGAAAAACTTCCCTGGGCTATATTACGGAACTGTTTCCTGTGCTAGGTAGATAAAGGGACTAAGGACGTTATTTCAAGTGTCTCACCATTTATAGAGAAGCATATCCGATTACAGATTGTCACTTTTGTAAAAATGAATCGTTTTCAAGATTAAGATGAACTATTGTTTAACAAAGAAACGATTTCCACAGTATCCAATTTCACAAAAATTACCGTAACTAACACAACATTTGCAATACTTATTAAAGTTGACAATAAAATTTAAGTTAAAAAAAATAGAAAAAGAAACGATTAACTATAATTATTTCTATCGTTATAAAACGATACATATCCCTAAGTACAGTAGAGAATATTGTTAGCATCAAACACACGTTTAAGCTTCTAGAAAAACGACGATATCTTCCAAATTTTGTATTAGATAAAGTTACTTTATACCGACGCAATTTGGGGCATTTCTTTAAAGGGAGTGTTCGCTAAAACTGAAAGGGGGTTGTAGGCTTACGGCGAAAAATAAGCGCGTTTGATCGCTACTAATCTTTCTTCTATCTGTTGCGTCTATCAGGAGAAAATTGTTAAAAACGACTCATACCGTAGAACATAACGTCCATACAAATTCAAAAAGTTGCAATATTCAACTCGGATCGTAAGAAATCAATTTAATTCCAAACAAATCATTTAGATATTACAGCCAATAGTCGTCGATTATTTTTCGACGCCTTCGTATATATTTGAAATATCAAAAATTCGAAATATCAATAAGCATTTTGTGAATTTCAATTGTTGTACTATATGGGAAATAACTTAAATCCCATGCGACATTTCATAATTAAAATAAAAATAAGAATTCTACAGTTTTATGGTTCTAACTGTTTGCAGAGTATTGTCCCGGGGTGAGAGAGTGTGTGGAGGGAATGTCCACACTGTTGACAGGTAAAAAATTATAATAACTTTTATTTGAAAATTTAGAACTTTAGATTTGAAGATAAATAAGATAGTATGTTTACTTGATTGAGGGAACCCTTAATGGGCATCGTTTAGTTAACAAAGAACGAACGATATTTTTGTGTACGAACGAACGAAAAAAAAATAAAAACGAACGATTTAAGATTGTTAGAAGAAACTTTAAAAGCGATCGTTTTTTAATGAGCGAAGTTTTTTTAGAACAAACTTTGTAAAAAACAATTTTTTCTAAGAACAATAGTTTTTTCCTGAACGAAACTCATGTTTATAAAAAACCAACAGTTTTTAATCTAAATGAACGATTATACTGAATGATCATTCAGCGAGAGACAACGAACTAAATAAATGGAAAATGAACGATAGTTTTGAGAATGAATAAAAAAAATTCTGAATGATTAAAAAAAAGAACGAAATAAATAAACATAACGCATCAATCTCTAACCCTTGCTTAAGAAAAAATCTTATTTCCCGAAAAAGCACGTGTAGTATGTGCACAATTTTATCGTCTTTTAAGATTTCAAACGCGAATTTTCTCATTTTGCAGATTGATCTTTATTTTACCTAATTGTAATACAAGGGATATTAAGTATCTTAACGTCCCGATGTTGGGGAAATCATGGGTTGGTAATGTTGATCAAAATGCGGTAAAAATTGAAGAAAAAAGTCTCCCAATCATTATTTAAGGGTTCTGATGTTAAAAACAATAGGAGTAGATATAAATTGTACATTCGTATTTCAAAATATATCATAAGTTATTTTAAAATTGATCTACCATCATGATATTGGATCTGTTTTCTTTGGCACATATTTGAAGGGTATAATCAACTTTGTGCTGAAGGGGAGTAGAGAGCACTCCACCTTCTTTAATTATATAAATAGTTCCTTTAAGATTGATGGTACCTGGAGCTGTAAATCTTGAGGAGGTACTGAAGGGGAGTAGTGAGCACTTCACCTTCTTCAATTATTTAAATAGTTCCTTTAAGATTGATGGTACCTGGAGCTGTAAATCTTGAGGAGGTACTGAAGGGGAGTAGTGAGCACTTCACCTTCTTAAATTATATAAATAGTTCCTTTAAGATTGATGGTACCTAGAGCTGTATACCTTGAGGAGGTGCTGAAGGGGAGTAGTGAGCACTCCACTTTGTTCAATTATATAAATAGTTCCTTTAAGATTGATGGTACCTGGAGCTGTAAATCTTGAGGAGGTGCTGAAGGGGAGTAGTGAGCACTCCACCTTCTTCAAACTACTCCAGGAGTCACAGCTTAGGAATACAACAAAATATAGCTTTCTTCTTAAAAAGTTTTTTTTCGTTTAAAGCTTAGTGAAAATTAATGTGATGTGAAAAATAATTTCGAGACATGAATTAATTTGTTGTTTGATATTCAGTAAAGAGTTAGTTTCTCCATACACAATCTTTGCTCCCACCAACCAGGCTTTCATGAAGTTGTCAGGTCACAATTTAACCCTATTCCGGTTAAATTGATATATCTATGATATATTTTTTTCTTCAATATATCATAGATTGGGCGTCCAGGGCGCTTCGCGCCTATCGTCGATTTTAAATTTTAATTGTCGCTCTATTGCGGCATTTTTTCTTTTAAAATTATCAAACAATAACAAAAAGATTTTTGCGGATTATTCTTATTTTTTCGTGGATTTAAAAAAAAAAATTCCACAGACTTATTTTAAAATTCTGACTATTCATAAACCTTCCCTGGAGTCATGGATTTTCAAAAAGTACTGACAATTGAAATTTGTTGGAGGCAAATTAAAAACCTTCCCAGGAAACTTCCCTGGGCTATATTACGGAACTGTTTCCAGGTCCCTAGATGTCCCACAAAAAATTTGGGCCCGATCGGTTCAGCCGTTTTGACGTTTATTGGATACAAACAAACAGACAGACAGACAGACAAGCCAAATTTATATATAGATATATATATATATAGTATGTATATTTATAAACTAAGCTTGCAACTGATGCATGTCCCTGGCATTGTCATCCCTTAAAAGATATTAGATAGGTGGCAAAGTACAATTGGGCTTCAATTAAAAAATGGCTGATTTTGATCAGAAAACAGGTCTTTAGTCCTATACTATTGGACATGGAAGGTCTACAATGAAAAACGTCATATTTAATTGTTGAATTGCAGTGTGGAGGTTTAAAAACACCTTTTTAAAACTATTTGCATGCAAACAATATTTCTATAAATATTTTAGAGGATTTTCAAATATATTGGATATATTGTATATCAAAGGTCTCTGACGAAAACCGTCAAATTTACTGAAGGCTAATACAAAGTTCGATATATAAACACCTATCTGTAGATGAATCCCAGCACAAGATATTTGGAGACTCCAAGATGGCCGAAAACGTGCTCCGTAATCATATTGTACAGGATGTTGGTGAGTATTTAGGATATTGATCTTAAACTTAATTTTTTAAAATAAATAGGCTTTTAGGCGCTTCGTGCCCAATTTTCTATTTAAATGTTTTGAAGCTGGGCTATTTTTTTAGAACCGATTTTTTTAACGTTGAAGATAAAGCTTCTATAGCTGGACAAACGGCTGGACCAAATTGGCTGATTTTTTTTTGAGGGAACCCATAATGGTTACCCTTGGGGAAGAAACAAAGGCTAAAAAAAGTTTTTTTTTCATAAATCGTTTTTTAAATTCAAATTTTTTTTTAATTGACGGGCAACTCCGGGCACTTCAGCTAATGTCTCATTGAAAAAAGGACAAATAATATGGGTAGCAAGATAAAAATAATAACAAGATTTTTATTTTACGTTATTTTAGTTTGTTGTTCAGCAGTTCCAAGCTACCTTCTTTTTTCCAGGTTTAAACAGAATTAAAAAATTAAAATCAGCTAAAATAAACTTTTAAATTTACTTAAGATGTTTATTATGTGGATTTATTTCTTTCTAATTATTCATGATTTGTCATTTTGTGGTAAGTTGGAGAATTGATATATTCCGTCATGTATACTCTATGATCAGAGTTGGGAACTTTTGAATGGTGAGTACCGGGATTAATGCTTGATCTTATTTTTTCTTTATCTCCAGATTAAATAATGCTTGTTCTCCTCTTGTTATTAATCTCCATATTAATCAACTGACCTGAGTCCGAATTTAAGAATTTTAAGCCGCGTCTCCAATCCCCCAAAAACCTGTTTCAATTGAGCGCCGGCTTAAATGAAACCAACCATATATGAGCCACGGCTCAAATTCTTTAAATTTGGCCTCCGGATTAAGGATATCCCAATCTAAAGTTTACAGCTCTGCTGAAATTTTATGTTTTGTGATATTAGACAAACAATTGCAATATCTTGCACTTAATTCCCCATATTTCCATGTTTCCATGAAAAGGGATGTAAGCGTAATTTCAAGTGACTCTCCATGCAAAGATTGCAATGCACTATTCACAACGGTACCCTTAAAAGCTTCGTCCATGAATAGTATGAATTAGATATCCATGTTTTTGTTTCTTCAAACTGTTTATTTTCCTTTGCGGGTTATCAGCAAAAGCGAATTGCACATTTCTTGTTTACACAATGTAGAATTATCAGAAATAAATAATTTGAGTCAGGACGCAATCTTTACATTTATGATCAGATTAAGGTTCCAAGGGTATCGTAGTGAATCGGAAATTGCCATCTTCACATGAAATTACGCTTACAGTCTATTTAAGTTTAAAATGTCTTTAGAGGAGAGAGGACTATTGGAGGTCATAGTATACATTTAAGGAGAACTTCTGGAGGGAGAGTTCTTGTTAACAAGGGAACCATTGAGAGGTATTCTTTTAGAAATTACATCAGATTGTTATAATAAGGAAAACAGTGAGAGGAATTCTTTTATATGTTACACGTTGTACATAGGTAGCCAAGAGAGTTATTCTTTTATATATTACACTGTTATAGAAAGGGAACCATTATTGAGAGGTATTCTTTTATAAATTACATTACACTGTACTAAGGGAAACATTGAGGGGTATTCTTTTATAAATTGCACTGTAGAAAGGGAACCGTTATTGAGAGGTATTCTTTTATACATTACATCACACTGTACTAAGGGAAGCATTGAGAGGAATTCTTTTATATGTTACACGCTGTACACGTTGTACATAGGTATCCAAGACAGTTATTCTTTTATATATTACACTATAGAAAGGGAACCATTATTGAGAGGTATTCTTTTATAAATTACATTACACTGTATTACTAAGGGAAGCATTGAGAGGTATTCTTTTATATAATAGCATGGTACACGTTGTATACAAAGGGAGCCATAGAAAGATATTTTTTTCATATATTACACTATACAAATGGAATTATTGAGAGGTATTATTCACTGTTACACTGTACAAAGGGAATCTTTAAAATACAATATGTTGATTATATAATCCACAGTGATCCTAAGGTTGCAAGCTTTTATGCTAAAATCTAAGAGAGTTTTGCCAAAGACTTTCTCAAAACTTTGCTACAAACAATCGTAAAGACTTCTTGAGGAAAAGTCAAATCAAGCGTTGCATTTATTTAAAGCTGAGTCAGTCTTAAATCTATGCATGATTATTAAAACTGTTGTGAGGTTGTCGATGGAACTGGAATCATAAAACAATATTTAAATGATATAACAAATAATGAATAAATAATATAGGTGTGATATTGTGGCTGAAAATGGAATAATGCACAGTATTGATGCTGTCATTCTACCAAAGATTCTTCAGGTTTGTTGCAACAAAAATATAAAATAGAAAATAGAAAATTGAAAACAGAAAATCGAAAATCGAAAATCGAAAATCGAAAATCGAAAATTGATAATTAAAAATTAAAATCAAAAATTAAAATTTAAAAATCAAAAACTGAAAATTAAAAATTGAAAATTTAAAATTGAAAATTTAAAAGTGAAAATTTAAATTGAAAATTAAAAATTGAAAATTGAAAATTGAAAATTGAAAAAAGAAAACTGAAATAGAGAACTGAAAATAAAAAAACTGGAAAATAAAAAAAAACAATTGAAAATTATTAAAATCAAGTTTTTTGATGATGGTTTTATTCAATTTTCTAGTTAGCCTTACTGTAAACCTGAAGAGGTGTTTATCGACGGAAATGCCATAAATCAAAGTATATTTTCAAATCAGAGTATAACATCAAGTTTTTAAATTCAGTTTACTTTTAATTTAGAGCAATGAACAGGAGAAAACAAGAATGTTCTGGAGTTTCTAGAAGATCAAAGAAATAAGATCAATCATTATCAAGATGTGTTTTAATATAGACATATCTATTTAAAGGGACTGTAAGCGTTATTTTGAGTGACCCTCCATGAAAAGATGGCAATGTTCGATTTACAAAGATACCCGGCCTTGAAACCTCTATCTGCTCAAAAATGTAGAAAATACCGTCGTTTAACTGACAAAGAAAAGTGTTTATTTTCGAGAATCTCTCCATTGTTTCTTGAGAGCAAGTGTAGTTCAAAGAAACAAAAACGTGGATATTTAATTCATAATTGATTAATTTTAACAGTGCCGTTGTAAATCGGGTATTGCCATCTTTAAGCAAGAGCTGAGGGTTTCTTGAAACCACTCTGCACTGTCTCTTTTAATATGTTTGCATTTAATACTTCAATCTGATTGTTTGTAGAAACCTTTATAACATTATATAATATTATCTTTAATTCAAATAAAGTAAAATTCAACAATTAAAAACTGGTATTTAGAAAAAAAATAAAGTTTAAAATCTATATTAATCTACCTGAAGGCTGACTATTAGTCATCTGACCATAATTATCCTATCATACCATAATAAAATCTAGTAGTAAAAGAGCAAAAACCTTTAAAATTTTTTTATTTTTATTTTTATCATTTTATATTACATCATGACTAGATTACACTGGAGACAGTATTATTTAAAGCTTTTCACGATACCTAAATCTGTATTTGTGGCGCTATGCGAGAGAAAAGATGTAAATTTAAATATTCCCTAACCAATGAATAGGCCCGGTGGGTAATGTTTTCATCTACATTATACATATTGATGATGAAGATTGTTCAATCATGGGTTAAAATAAGAAAACTAAAAGAAATTTTGGTAAGAAGTTATGGGAACATGCAGCTGATTTGAACCATTAAAAAACGGGTTAAAAAAGCATTCCATTAGAATTGACAATAAATAAATAAAAGCCTCCAAATTCAAGAACTCGTGGTTTTTTTAAAGAAATGTTTTTAAAATATCCTCATTGAAAATCTGGTCCAGGACGTCTGAATGATTTAGAGAAATAATCATAAAATGGACAAATAGTGACAATGTCGATTGATAAGAAAAGTAAAAACTCTGAATATACATGTAAGTTTACTGTTTCATAAATTAGAGCCTGCCTCTGGCTCTAGGAGGGGCCTAGGGGGGTGCATGTCTAGGGGGGCACAGGGGTACCGGCCCCCTCCCTGGACTACGCGCCAGTCTGTTTTCTATTTTAGCGATTCATGAATTCCTGGAAAAGGGAAAGGGGGTTTATCAAGTATTTTTAGGTATTTTCACTATCAGTTCAATTAATCCTACATGTTCACCGCAAATATATCGTGTGATGTGTCATATCAAAAAAATATCATGATTTTTTAATACGTACAATGTACATATTTGATTTCTGGATGAATAATGAATTTATGTTTATGTAAATTGTAAATTAATTAATATTGTGATCTATATATTAAACAGCACAGATTTCTTTATTTGATATCAGATGTGTTGACTACTTACCATGAAAATCCGGTTGTTACGGTTAGATTTTTTATTGCTTGAGTATAATACACATTTTTCTTGCCCCCCCCCCCCCCTAAAAATGTCTATATCTAATATATATATATATTCAAATTGTGCAGGGTTACCCAAAGAAAATGAGCCTGTTAAAACGACCTGACATGAGGCCGAATTTAAAGAATTTGAGCGGCGGCTCAAATATGGTTGGTTCCACTTAAAATCGTATTCAATGTTTCAAGATTTAAGCTGGCGCTCAATTAAAACTGGTGTTTGGCTGATTTGAGACGCGACTTGAATTTATTGAATTCGGAAACTGATCAAATTTTAAAATATATCGATCCAAAGATGTTGAATTAAGTCTTTTGCACAAGATATAATCTTTTAATTGCTTATCTAATAATTTGACAAAAAAAAAGGTTGTATACGTATACAATGATTGCAGATGGGATTCGTGAACAAGGAAACAGACATGACAACCAAGGAGCCTGATGTGAATCCAACCAAGGAGCCTGATGTGAATCCAACCAAGGAGCCTGATGTGAATTCAACCAAGGAGCCTATTGTGAATCCAACCAAGGAGCCTGATGTGAATCCAACCAAGGAGCCTGATGTGAATCCAACCAAGGAGCCTGATCCAACCAAGAAGCCCCATTGTGAATCCAACCTTGGAGCCTGATGTAAATCCAACCAAGGAGCCTGATTTGAATTCAACCAAGGAGCCTGATGTGAATCCAACCAAGGAGCCATATTGTTAGGGGCGGATACAGGATTTAAGTGATGGGGGGCAAGATTTTTTAGGAACAAAAAATTCATAATTAGGAACCAAAATCGTGCCGCAGGCGAAAATTTTTTTGACTTAAAATGCTCAAAAAGAGTAAAAATTGATGACTAAAGACTAAAATACTAGATTTTTAACTTTTCACACATTATAGTTTATTACGACAGATATTTTCCCGTCAGGACATTTGGAGGAAAGGTTATTCATGGTCTAAATTTGGGTTATTAATTGTATACATGATAAAATGGTAAATGAAGACAACTTCTCATAATTATAAGTTCTCTCCAAAATAAAACGGTAAGTATTGACTACTTTTCAAAATATACACTACAGTGCTTCCCAAAATAAAATAGTAATAATTGAAAACTCCTCAAAAATATACAGTGCTCCCTAAAATAAAATAATAAGCGTTGAAAACTTCTCTTAAATATACAGTAGTCCTCAAAATAATATGGTAAGCATAGACGACTTCTCTTAAATATTCAGTGCTCCCCAAAGTAATATGGTAAATGATGAACACTTTTCATAAATATACAGTGCTCACCAAAATAATATGGTAAGCATAGACGACTGCTCATAAATATACAGTTCTCTACAAAATAAATCTTCTTTTCTCACTTTCTCTTTCTTCCTTTCTTTCTCTCCTTATTTCTTCCTTCCATTTACAGTAACATACAGTAATAAAATGGTGAAGTGAAGACGAATTTACTTAATATGCAATCTTTTTTCAAGAAGCACTTATATTTATGAATGGTAATCATCATTTACCATATTATTTTGGGGAGCACTGTATATTTATGAGCAGTCGTCTTTGCTTACTATATAATTTTGGGGATAAATTAGGAACAAAATTAAAGGATTAGGACAGGGATTTAGGAACAATAAAAAGATTGTTCATGAATTAGGAACAAAATTAAAGGATTAGGACAGGGATTTAGGAACAATAAAAAGATTGTTTAGGAATTAGGAACAAAAAAATAGGATTAGGACAGGGATTTAAGGTGGGTCGGACACAGTATTAGGAACATGAACAATAATAGGAACATTAGCAATTTAAGAGCTCCGATCATCATGTCCGATGTAGGTCCTGGCGGTATAGCTTAAACGGCACCCACCCAGATCTGTCGTACATACGATGTAGTATATACTACAGCGAAGATATGATCTCCCACATCTTCGATGTCGGTACCGTGTAGTATATACTAAATCGAATTTTTTCTTTCCGATGTATAATGTAGACATCGGTGAGAAAGAATTCGATTTAGTATATACTACATGGTTCCGAAATCAAAGTGTTCATATGTGGGAGATCATATCTGCGCTGTAGTAAATACTACATCGTATGTACGACAGATCTGGGTGGGTGCCGTTTACTATACCGCCAGGACCTACATAGGACATGATGATCGGAGCTCCGCCCAACTCTGGCGAAGCCTGTCGAATATACGAGGCGGTATAACCGAAATCGGTTATTTTGCTAGCTAAATTTTGTGTTTTAAAGGTTTTTAATTATATGTAAAAAAAATTTAGTTCTTGAAATCCGCGAATTTTTTTTTTAAAAATCCGCAAATTTTTTCTGCTTTGTTTTAAAATGTAAACCAAAAGAACATGTTCACAATTTAAATAGAAAATGGGCTCGAAGCGCCCTAAGGGCCTAGTATAAATAATTCGTACTGAAGTCTCATCCTTTGTGGGTAACGAACTATACCATATTTGTATATTTTGCCATTGTTATTGTAATAATATTGAAAACCTGAAAATTATTGCAAATTATATATAACTGGACGGTGAAACGGGTTTTACGTGTTTAAACGCGGTGTGACGTGATAATCAATTGCAGACTTTAAAAACTTGGATGTTTCAAATCTTGCACATTTAAAATATATTTAATGATATTTCGCAATACCATAATATTTAATAGGAATCTTTAAAATTATTTTATTAATTTTGTTGTTTTAATCCGAAAATATTTTCCGCGATTTCTTTTTGGCGCATAATACCCATGATGTTGCAGATCAGCTGCAATTTTCCCTTTTAAGATGAATTTTCTCAAGAATGTTGCATTTTTTTAATTCCTAAAATTTTCCCGAAAATTTCGCATTTTCTCAAAATTTTTATTTTATTGTGAAAAATACGATCTTTCGCGAAATGATTTTTCTCTTTTGCTTCAAACTCTTTTAGAACCAAATGAAATTTTACAAATCAACTCTGTGACACTCCCGTCCACGTAACCTTATTATGATCTAATACATTTTTAACTTTTAAGTTAGAAAACTCAATTAGATCATTTTACTTTTTACTAGGTCGGTTAAGCTGGCGCCAATTTATTTCTCTATCTATCTATCTATCATGTGAAAGGAATCAGATACAGGGTGTCCCACGAAACATGACAGTATGCAGGATGACTTGAATGTCGTCTTGATTTTTGAAATAATTTGCTGTGTTTATTTGTCAACCTAATTTTAGAAGTAAATTTCTAGAGATAATAATCACAAAATTTTCCTTGTCCTGCCATTTCCAAAATGTGGTCTGCCTTTCTTGTGCTTTCAATATTGCCCGAGATATGAAGAATTTCGTTCAGATTTCGACAATTTTGCTTTTATTTAACAAAATTGAAATCTGAACCAAACTCTTTATATCTCCGGTAATATTGAGAGCACAAAAAACGCAGACCACTTTTTGGAAATGCCAGGACTAGGAGAATTATGTGATAATTGTTTCAAGAATCATACATGTTAAAGTAGATAGAAGACTAAATGTCACAAATAAATTCAAATACCAAAGACGACTTTCAAGTCGTCTTGCTATTGTCATGTTTCGTGGGACACCCTGTATCTATCTATCTATCCGCAGGTTGCCAAATCAGCTGATTCCTCTACAGTACACTACACTTCAGTCTGCTACACGAATTTTAAGCTTTCTGTTTCGCTTTTTAACTTTAGTTACTGAAAACGTGAATTTGAAGTTAACTCTACATTCCCTGAAGACAGTGTTTGTGACGAAAAGAGAAAATAAAAACGAGTTTAAGGTAAAAATAAGATATAACGTAGTGTTTTTTTCATCATAGAATTTAATTGGCTCAAAACCCGATCATGAATTAATTAAAGGTTTATTGAGTTTTTCCTGAACTGAAAATTCTGAATATCAAGATCAATGTTTGATCTTCTTTTTTTCTTAATCTCCAGAATAAATAATGCTTGTTCTCCTCTTGTTATTAATCTCCATATTAATTAACAAATTGGGATTAAGTTTTCAGATCTTCGAACAACCGCCAATTCCTGACCGGATGGGTCCGTCCTAGTGAACGATTTTTTGACCCCCCCAAATTTTGTACATGACGAAATTAGCAAATTAGTATTTATTTATTATTATTTAGGGTTAGGTTAGGTTAAGACACTTTCTGGGCCGAGCGCTGCGGCTAGGATAGGCTAGGGGGCCGAGCGCTGTGGCCACGGGTTAGGTTATTTAAGACACTTTCTGGGCCGAGCTCTGCGGCTAAGACAGGCTTTGGGGCCAAGGGTATATTCCCCCCCCCTCCTATCAATTTTGTACATGGATATTATAGTTAGACATGGATATAATTGACCTTGTGGCCGCAGCGCTCGGCCCCTAGCCTGTCCTAGCCGCAGCGCTCGGCCCAGAAAGTGTCTTAACTAACTTATTTTTTTTCATTTGAACTATTTCATTTGAACTATTTTTGTGTTCATTGAACTATTTTTATGTCCATTTGAACTATTTTTATGTCCATTTGAACTATTTTTGTGTTCATTTGAACTATTTTTTGTTAATTTGAACTATTTTTATGTTTATTTAAAACATTTCTGTGTAAAATTGTTATCTAATTAAAATTGTTTTGTGTTCATTTGAACTATTTCATTTGAACTATTTTTTTTCATTTAAACTATTATAGTTCATTTCAACTTTTTTTCATTTGAATTATTTTATTTTAACTATTTTTTATGTTCATTTGAACTATTTTTATGTTCATTTGAACTATTTTTATTTTAATTTAAACTATTTTTATGTTTATTTGAAACATTTCGGTGTAATTGTTATCTAATTAATTGTCTCGAACTAACTAACTAACTTTATGAGAATTATAAAAAAAAATTAAAAAACTGAAATGCGGTGAAAATGGTCCAAATGGGCAAGAAATGTGTTGATTTGAACTACAGAATATAACGTCATGTCAGTAGTTCAAATGAACAATAGTATAGTTCAAACGAACAATAGTTCAAACGGGAGTAGTTCAAATGAGAATCCACCCTCATTTTGAATACCTACTCGGCAGATTAAGCTGAAATATGAATGTCGTCGTAAAGTTGACAATTTTTTAAAGTTAAGATGATAAAACTGTTAAATACTTTTTTATTCAGTTAATCCCTTCCTAATCCCAGAGAGCCGGGGGAGGGGTAGGGTGCCCCTGAAAAAAAATCCCAGACGTGCCACACATTTTTTAGGCAGCATTGGTAAAACTACCTCAAATACGAAATTTTAGCATTTGAAAATAATTTTCCTAAATGGCCTAGCTATTTTACTCTTTTTCCCGCCTTATTAACCTTTTTTAACCGTTTTCTCGGCTAAACAGGGTTAACTCTGTCAATTTTCAAGGGACTTTAAAGAATGATATCATTTTAGAAATCCTTTAACTTGGTTTAAACGATATTGGACAATTTTTATTAAGAAAAAAGTGAAAAATCTCGTCTTTTTTACGCCTTTTGTCAGCTCCATCTGGGAGAGGTTAAAGTAGGGGGAGGGGAGGGGGGTGCACTTTGACACTTTGTGACACCAAATTTTGTACAGGCTGTGTTTGGTCTTAAAAATTGAGATAGAAGGCTGAAATTTTGCATGCAGCCTCTAATTTTGGTCGTCAACATGGATCACAAAGAAAATTTGAGATTGGAGGTCATTGATCTCCATTTTGGCCTCCATGAAAACAGAAAATATGGGAAAATACCGCTTTTTCCCTCGACAGACATTTTTTCACATTTTTTGCTAACCCATATATCATTTGCTGATATTAGATGAGATCATAGGTTTTTTGGTGTTCCGATTCCATTCTGAGACCCCTGTTTAACCTCAGATGATCCTGGAGGTCGTGAAATGACCTCTGAAGGTCAAAATATGAAATAAAAAAAATAAATCATGTGAGGTATCAAATCACAGGTTTTTTGGTGTTTGGATTCTATTCTGAGACCCCTTTTTGACCTCAGATGATCATGGAGGTCTTGACCTCCAGAAATCAATGACCTCTGGAGGTCAATATATGAAATCAATGAAAATAGGTCATGTGAGGTATCAAATCATAAGTTTTTTGGTGATTGGATTCTATTCTGAGACCCTTTTTTGACCTCAAATGATCCTAGAGATCGTGAAATGACTTCTGAAGGTCAAAATATTAAATCAATGAAAATAAGTCATAGGAGGTATCAAATCACAGGCTTCTTAGACACCTTTTTAACCTCAAATGATCATAAAGGTCGTGACCTCCAGATATCAATGACCTTGGTCTTGTCAAAATATGAAATCAATGAAAATAATAGGTTCTGCTCTCATAGGTTGTAGGAATGCAACTGTGTTTCAAATCTTTGAAAGGATAATACTTGTATTATTAGATTAAAACTTAGATTAGATCAAAGTGTGCCCTCTGATAATTGCTATGTCTCATGCTCATTGGACTATATATATTTCACAACAGGAGTCTAACAGTCCTCTGACTTTTCTACAGTTATATAGGTTGCACTGTAAGTTTCCACCTAAGTCATAGCTTTTGGAACACTACCTTTACGTGTTGTTTACTGTTCTAAGAATACAAACCTTAGAAATGTCCCTGTTGGTTAACATGATTTGGTAATTTCTATGAGAATAAAAGGTCAAGGTTTTGGTTTGTTTCAAAGTTTGCATTTTTAAAATGTAATATCTTTTTTGTAGTGCAGACCTGTATAGAAAAACGGATAATGAAAAAATTGAAATTAATCTATTGCTTGAAATTTCTTCATTTATTATTTTGAAAGGAATTTTAAATTCTGTATTTTAATGATCCATAAAAAATCCATCAAAACAAAAAACAAATCATGTTCCCATTTTTTTGTATACTGTAAACACACACACAATGAACTCATTTGGTTTTGGAAATGGGTTCCTTATGGATGAGATACATTTTCTAACTTTCAAGGATATCCTTTTCCTTCAAAATCCTTTAATTCCGGAAAATGCTTCCATGAAATATTGGAATATGCGTCAGTGTTTTATGATTAAATTTTTTACAATTTTTATGATATAAAACTGTATGAGGCATAGTTCATAATTTCACATGTTCCAGGTAGCTACTGCTTCTCGTCTCACTTTTGATTGCAGGGTACACTTTCGCCTTCAGGATGTATGGCTAGACAGCGTCTGGTTTGTACCTGCCTTAATAAAATTTCCTTGGAGTAGGGGGAATGAGATTAGGGTGCCAGATTGAATCGGTCGGGGATTCAGCACCTGACTGAGTCCCCTTCTCAGAGTCGGTCTGGGGATCCCACGTTGGGGGTCTTCCCTGATCTATCTTTCATTTCATTTCATTTCATCTATTTTCTCATTCTCCGTCGGGGTGTCTGCAGGTTCTCTTTTTCTTGCTTCCATTTGCCCGTCCATTTATGGCACTGCTTTTGAAAGAATGTTTTTGAGCCGCTGTATTTGCACCAGGGAATATGAATAAAGGGAAAGGAAATTGCACTGGTCTGGCATGAGAAAGCCAGTCGCACTGCTTTGCAGACCTGTACGGTAACCTTACACACACTCTTCTGGTACAGACACACAACATGACTACATTCAAGGAAATTGCAGAACAATGTCGTCAATTATAATTAAACTTGAATAACGAGTAGTTTATTTTAAACTTTAATCAAATTATATTCTTTGCATGAAAATTTGGTTTATAGTGTTGACTTAAATATGTAAATAATATATTACATGCATATTAAACTTATTTTTAAGTAAACAATTAACAATAAACAAATGTACTCTCCTAGGCTGTACAAATACCGAGATTCTTATGTACTGTATAAACCTACAGTACACACCTTTGGTACAGTAACCTTACACGCACTCTTTTAGTACAGAGACACACACATGACATTTCAGCCCCCTGATTTGCACCATTATAAAACAGTGCAAATCTGGATCCTTTAATAACGCATGAATGACTTCTTATGGCACATATCTGAACTATTTTCAATAGGTTTCCTGATTTGTGTTCTGTATTGTGTTGTGGAATGCTCTTTATGAAATACATTGCATTCTGCCTAAATGCATAAGAAGCAGGTGTTAGCTTAATTTTGCTTCTTTCTTAAACATAACAGGCTTTCAATTTTTTATGCGCCAAATTTATGGGGTTAGTTTGGTTTAGTCATTCTGATCTTTATTGGATCCAAACAAGCATACAAGCCACATATATAGATATTAATAGATCTGTATGTTTGTCAACATTATATCTAAAGATCTTGAACCAATATTTATTCATTTTTAAAGGTATAAAGTTTATTTTTTCTTATTCTAATCATAAAGTTGCTGTAAGTCTTGCAATCATTGTTTTCTCTTCATAATTTTGAGTCAGTGATATGCCATTCTTTAGCACTTCTTGGGCCACCATTTTGACTGCAATCTAAAATACAGAAAGAAAGAAATTGCTCTAGAATTGTGATCATGATTTTATGTTGACATTGATAAAGTATTCTTACAGTTCCAAGGTGGAGTCATATCTCATCTGAAGAATAGCATGATCCAGCAAGGTTCTTACTTCAAATACGCCTTCATTAGTTCTCACTGCAATTCCCTGTAATATTTATGATGGGTTATAACAATGAACTGGCACAAATTTGCTAGTTTAGAATTATGTTAAATCAAAGTTGAACAGAAAAATCTGACAGGGACTAAAGAGTTACAGTGCTGATTGAAATTGATAACCTTTATCTGAGAAGCAATGAGATAAATATCATTTGTGTCTTTCTTGAAAAAAGATCAATTCTACATAATTCAGCAAAACAGTTTGAATAAATAAAAAATGAGAATTTTCTGATTTTATGCAGAAATATAAAACCAATGCCATTTAATAGGCTCTCATTTAAATCATTTTTTTCCTCCAAGTTCTAATTAAAAGGGAACCATTCTTTTTGAACATAAACATCTTTATGAATCTTGAAACATCTTTAGAAATTTGAAAAAAACTCATAAAGGCAGATTTGTTTAATTTTCCACAGGATAAATGACTTTTTAATTTACCTTAGCCATTGCTATTCCATATCCTACAGAGTTCAGGGGTTCACCAATTATTTTCAAACTAAACAGTGAATATTTATGTGCTGATATCCAACATCACACATGGAACATTGTAATCAATATTTTGTTTTTGGAAACCCAAAAATATACATCTGAAAGAGACTAAAGAATTATTTCAAGTGAATCTCCATTTATAGAAAGTCATGTCCAATTCACTAAAATTCCCAAAAAAGCTTTTTTTGAACAAAAATAAATGTATGTCAATGTTTGTTTTTTTAAACTGATAACCTTAATGCTTTGTTTCACTGTGATCAACTTGGACATTCATTGATCAGAATTAAAATGTTAAAAGGACTGTTTTGAATCAGGGTTTATTGAAATCACAATGAAAGTCCCTTTTTTAAGAGATTATGTTCTTAAATTTTTTATACAAATTAGGAGAATTTTTTATTTAGAAATACCTGCAGTGTTCGGAAGCATGGTATTTAGCAGTACTTAATTCAGCCAGAACAGCTATCTTTTCACCAGATTTCAAGACCTTAACAAGAGATATTTAATAGTAGACAGCTTCTTAAAGTAAATATTTTAAATAGCCCCTCTAAAACCCTGATCAGTGAACACCTTCTTGTAATTTTTTTTAAACAATATGTAGCAAAAATGTAATGATAGAATATTTTTGGTCTGCCATTAACCCACTCCAGAATTGTTAAATCAAACTTGAGAATATTTTCTGCCAATATAATGTAAATCTTCAATATTCTTAGATTTACAATAAAGGGGATGGTGGAGTTGGCACATTTGATGTAGGGGGGTGGGGGGCTGCCTTAATTTTTGGTTCAAATCTTCCAATTTTTTGGGTGCACGCCTAATTAGTGTTTGAAATTCCTAAAATAAAATAAAATTGAAGTTTAATGACCTCTAATGACCTCTAATGTCCTCCACAAATAGAAAATATTTCAACTATGGCTTAATGCATATCAAACAAAAGCTAGGAACCCAGGGAATGCAGTAGCAGCAGCAAATCCAGTTTTTGACCTTCTATTGACCTCTTACGACCTCTAATGACCTAGATGACCTCCAAAAATGATAATGTTTTAACTATGGCTTTATGCATATCTAACGAAAGCTAGGAACCCCAGGAATACAGTTGCAGCAACGAATCCAGTGTTTGACGTTCTACTGACCTCTAATGACCTAAATGACCTCCAAAAATGAAAATGTTTTAACTATGGCTTCATGTATATCAAACGAAAGCTAGGAACCCTGGGAATACAGTAGTAGCAACAAACTCAATGTTTGACCTTCTAATGATCTCTAATGACCTCTAATGACCTCCACAAATAGAATATATTTCAACTATGGCTTTTATGCATATCAAACAAAAGCTAGGAATGAACCCAGGGAATACAGTAGCAGCAACAAATCCAGTGTTTGACCTTCTTATGACCTCTAACGACCTCTAATGACCTAAATGACCTAAATGACCTCCAAAAATGAAAAGGTTTTAACTATGGCTTTATGCATATCACCCAAAAGATAGGAACCCAGGGAATACAGTAGCAGCAATGAATCAGTGTTTGACCATCTCAGCCATAGTTAAAAAATTTTCATTTTTGGAGGTTATTTAGGTCATTAGAGGTCATTAGTACGTCAAACACTGTATTTGTTGATACTGCTGCATTCCCGAGATTCCTATCGTTTGTTTGATATGCACAAAGCCATAGTTAAAACGTTTTCATTTTTGGAGGTCATTTAGGTCATTAGAGGTTGTTAGAGGTCAATAGAAGGTCAAACACTGGATTTGTTGCTACTACTGTATTCCCTGAGTTTCTAGCTTTTGTTTAATATGCATAAAGCCATAGTTAAAACATTTTAATATTTGGAGGTTATTTAGGTCATTAGAGGTCGTTAGAGGTCATTAGAAGGTCAAACACTGGATTTGTTGCTACAACTGTATTCCCTGGGTTCCTAGCTTTCGTTTAATATGCATAAAGTCATAGTTAAAACATCTTCATTTTTGGAGGTCGTTAGAGGTCATTAGAAGGTCAAACACTGGATTTGTTGCTACTACTGTATTTCCTGGGTTCCTAGCTTTTGTTTGATATGCATTAAGCCATAGTTAAAACATTTTCATTTTTGGAGGTCATTTAGGTCAAAAGAGGTCGTTAGAGGTCAGTGGAACGTCAAACACTGGATTCGTTGCTGCAACTGTATTTCTGGGGTCCCTAGCTTTCGTTTGATATGCATAAAGCCATAGCTACAACATTTTCATTTTTGGAGGTCATTTAGGCCAATAGAGGTCGTAAGAGGTCATTAGAAGGTCAAACGCTGGATTTGTTGCTGCTACTGTATTCCCTGGGTTCCTAGCTTTAGTTTGATGTGCATTAAGCCATAGTTGAAATATTTTCTATTTGTGGAGGTCATTAGAGGTCATTGGAGGTCATTAGAGGTCATTGGAGGTCAATAGAGGTCATTAAAGTTCAATTTGCTTTTATATTAGGAATTTTGAACACTAATTAGGCGTGCAGCCAAAAAATTGGAAGATTTGAACCAAAAATTAAGGCAGCCCTCCACCCCCCTACATCAAATGTGCCAACTCCACCATCCCCTTTTTTTATTGATATGTAAATGAGTAAATTTCTTTAATTATAATTGTGTTACCCTTTCAAATCCTTCATTGAAGTTTGTGATGGTCTCCAGTGAATTGGCGATTCTACAAAATAAAAATAGTTAAATTTAAGAATTCTAGGAATAGCTGGATATCAAAATAAAAAATGTTTGAAAAAATTTTCTTACTTCTCATGAATGCTAACTCTGCTAGATTTTAAGAAGTTTTCAGTGGATCCACCTCCAACACATAGAAAACTGTATCCTAAAGTAGTTTGTAGAAGAAGTTTTAAATCTAACACTACTATGTATTTTGCTCAGCATACCCCACAAGCCCGGATTTAGGATACCAATTGTAAAAGATATAATTCTAGATCCTTATCAATGTTTTAAAGATAAATAAACACCCAGGTATTAGTTACCATGTTCAAGAAGATCTTCAAGTGTGTTCAGGTTAGGGTCAGGATTGTTCACAAGAACAGTAACTCCCCCAGTCATAAAAGGTTGTGTGAAGTCAACAGTTAGAACACTGAAATAATTTTTAAGGTTAACTTCAAGTTAATAAATTAAAAATGCATGTACTGTAAAATGTCTTACAGGAATGAACTGAAAAAAAATAGTTTTTATTGAATTGTTAACTGTAATTCAGTATGTTTTTAAAAAAAGAGTTTTTTTATGTCCAATTCTTTAAAAGGTTTAAATTCCCCTCCTTAAACAAGCCGCCCCCCCCCTCCCCCTCCCCACGATTTACACAAAAGTTCGTTAATTAGTTCGACCCCCACCCCCACTCTATACACACACATCTACACAGCTTATTTTTAATCTTTGTGAAGAAACAATCTCAAGGAATAATAATTGTCTTAAAATATTTTTTTTAAAAGTGAATATTTGCAAATTATCTTTTTCCATCTCATAATCTGAGTTTGTTTCCCTTATGTCGATTTGACAGCCCAAATTTTTATTTTGAATAATCTTTTTTGTTTGTCAACCCAAACCGAAATATATTTTCAATAAATGTGGAACTAACGTCTACTTTTTTTCTCTACAGAGGTTTGGTCCATCACCATCACCGAATTTTATGTCTTACATTATCATTATGATTTGTTAAGATTGTTAATTATTCCTTATTACCGTTTTGGTGCCACTGTCAGATCAGCAATTGCCAACTCTGCTTCTCCTCTAAAAAAATTGTGTTTTTTGCTAACAACTCTGCTTAAAGATAATTTTGATTTTTTTCTGTTTAAATATCAATGTGTTCGCAATTATTTTATCTAATCATATCATTTTGTTCTTTTTTCTTAAAGTTTTATATGATTTTTCAATGTTATTTGTGATTCTACTAAAGCTTTTTAAGGATATTTTATCTAAAACTCTACAAATTCTTTCTAATTTTTTATCTATATGAATAATTAGTTGATAAAGCTGTAAACCTGAGAATCTCTCCGATCATGCCAGTGCAATTACCATTATTACATAGTCCATATCGTGCTGCAATCATGTAATTTTAAATAATGTGACATATTGGTTGTTTCCATTAACGAAAATTGGGTTTATTTATATATCATTAATATTGGAATTATAGAATTTGTTCTTAATTGCAGAAAATTAAAATTGCGCTAACCTACCATCTTTTACAACATTGATGGAAAATTCAATGCCCAGTATTTTGGTCATTTCTTTCATCATGTCTGGTATAAAGCCTTCAAACTTGTCATTGCCACTCATTTTCTGAAGTAAAGATCTTGGTGGAAAGATCTTCCTGTCATATTCAAAATGTAACCCTTCAGATAATTATTTTACCAGTCTAAAATAAGAGCGGGGAAACTTGGGTTTACACCGGCATAGATTAAACACTGTAATCTTAAGTTTCCTGGAACCTAATTTCATTTAAAAGTATAAGAATATTTCTGTCATCCTTGATCTGACAAAGGTTTAAGGGTAAATTTGTGAATGGGACATGCCACTATATGAAAGGAGGGTCACTTGTTTAAATTGACAAAGTTTTACTACTTGGTAATAACATTTAAATATTTCCTTGTTGTTGTAGTTGCAGGTCACCACCAAACATAACAGCTGTTGCCACATTCTAGAGTTAAATTATATATTTGAAAATATTTTGAAATCCAAATTGATCTTTGCATAAAACTAATTAATTTTTTTTTTTAATTAAGTGTTGAACTATAAAAATGGACTTTTTTATTTTTTTTTTAATTCAAGCTAATATGATTTCTTTTATTAACATTTTTGACAAGAAAAATCCTTTGCAGCATATATGGTAACATAAATGTATCCCCCATAATCAGCCTCATTGCATTTATTGAGCATAAACTCACTTTTATGGCTTTTGGGACATAAGTTAAATCTGTTAACTATGTCTAGCCCTAACCTGCTATTAGTGTGATGAGTCTTGATAAACTGAGCATTGAAAAATCAATTTAAAGTTTGCATTTTCTCATTACATACAACATGTGCTGAGCAGACAGGGGGTTTGATGATAAGTAAGTAAATTATTTCATTTATGTTTCTTCTTAAAAACACAAAGTTTTTATTTTAGAATTTGTTTTTTATTTTTTAAATGGAATGTGTCTTTCTATGAAGTTTTTGCTGCTCCTCTTGTTGATAGCCTCTTTGTCTGCGTTTTCACTTTCAAATAGCCTCAAAAGTTAAGAAGAAATTGGAAATTATACAGCTGAGCAGGACATAGAGGAAGAGGATGATGAAGTTGATGAGAATGTTGAGGATGTTGAGGATGCTGAAGATGATGAGAATGCTGAAGATTGTGAGGATTCAGAAGATGATATGAATGCTGAGGATGCTGCAGATTAGGAGGATAAAGATGATGAGAATGAGGAGGATGATGAGGATGAAGAGGATGATGAATATGAGGAAAATGCTTAAGATGAGGATAATGCTGAAGATTTGCAGGATGATTACAATGAGGCAGCAGATGAGGAGAAAGTTCAATTGAATAATAAGGCGGAAGAAAATGAGTATTTGTGATGAAGATTCATATTATTTTTATATTCATATTATTTTTATATTCAACTACAAAGCACGAGATAATACAAATAAAAAAATCACAATTTACTATGTAGTTTGGACCCGCCTAACCAGAGTAGGTTGTTTTAATTGGTTTGCCAACTATAAACGAATGAGAATTGCAAATAAAAACAATGTACATTGTACATTTTAAGCATAAAAATGATGATAAATCAGGAAAAAGGTAAGGAGGAGGTGAGGGAGTATAAGGGAAAGTGAGGATACTCAGCCTAAGGGTTGGAACAGAGAGTAACATATGTTATTGAAATCATGTTTAACATGAACTACAGAGTGAAGAAGATAGTAAATACTATATCCACATGATGCACAGTTTTTTTTTACAAATATAACTTGCATAACTATCTGAATAGATCTTGGCAACTTGTCTTTTAAACGATATTGCAGATTTAGTTTTTTTCAGCTCTAATTTAATCAAATTCCATATTTTAGGAAATAAAGCAGAGGGAAAACATTCTAGAGTTTTAAAGAGAACCCATTCAAGTTTACATGATTTTGTTCTATTTGGTTCAGCTAAAGAATTAAACATATCATGGAAGGAAGCTGGAAGGTTTTCATAAAAGTATTCATGCATAAAAGATAGAACACCTAGTTTATATGTATCATCAAGATTTAGGAGTTCTAATCTGAAATATATTGGATCTGAATGTGCTTAAAGGAACTATTATTTACTGCTCTAATTGCCCTTTTTTGCAAAGACTTGATTTTCTGTAGTTTAGCATTTTTTACGACCCCCCCCCCCATGTTATAATTCCATACTCAATATGTGGCCTTACAAGTGCATTATAAACTAGTAGACAAATGTTTATTAGTAAAATGTTTTTAATCTGATTCAGAGCAAAAATTGAGCTAGCAATCTTATTGGAAACATGTTCAATTTGATAGTCCAAATTTAAAAATTCATCAATTTTTTAGTCCAACAAATTTGAAATATTTATTTGTACAGTCAGTTCCTTTTCTAGGATCTCATTTTTAATTTGCAGTTCTCAGGATCAAAATACAAATTTTTAATCCTAAATATCATAAACTTTGTTTTAGAAACATTTAGTGTTAAACGGTTTGCCTGAAACCATGCAGCTGCCTTTTTTAGTTCAAAGTTCGCATCAATTACTAAAGTTTCGATATGTGGAGATGATTTTAGAAAACTAGTGTCATCAGCAAATAGATTAGTAAAAAAAGACGTTGCTAAAGGCAAATCGTTTATGTATATGAGAATAAGTAGGGGCCCATTATTATGATGAATGTGATTATGAAGAATAAGTTCTTCTTTTCTAATATGTTCAAAGTCAAATTGTAATTCAATCAATATATTTCTGAAATCTTATAAGCCCTTTTTCTTTTAATTTGGAATAGTATATTTTTTTATTTCTTTATGATCTGGGTTTTTAAGGAATTTAATTTAAGAAAAAATCAAAGTTTCGTCTACACTGAAGTTTAGTGATTTTTGAAAATTTGATTCCTAGATTTAAATATTTGAGCAAATTTTGAGAAACAGCTCTAAGCCATATTTTGGTTCAATGTGCTCTTGCATTGACCCCAAGAAATTATCTTGCTCAGTTTTTATCAATCTGTACCTTTGTCCAGAGTCAACAGAAATAATTTATTCAAAGAAAAAAAATATTGGAAGATGAAATAAAATATGTAGTAAATATCAGTTTTTAAAACTTAATTCTTTGATAAGAATTTTCTTGAATCATGAATTTAAATGAAAGGAATCAAATGAGGAACAAAATAAATAACTGAATTCTTTGTATTCACTGAATACTCTTAAGATTTTTAGATGGTTAGTGTTTTAAATTTCTAAAATACTTTTCTAGGTAACAAGAATCCAAGAACTGGTTTTAGAAAATGCAAACATTATAATGTCTGATTGAAACGTAGTTAACTTATGTGATGAAATCAATGCTATAATTAGAACTTATAATGTCCATGAGAACTAGGGTTTCCAATTAGAATTACGTTGCAGGGAATAGGGTGAGACTGTGTGGAATTGCATGCAACTGTTCTCATATTGTGTGGAAATTACAAGGCCTGCAATTGGCTGCAAGTAAAATCCACTTTCGATGGAAACATTAATGTTTCATAAAACATGATTTAAAATCAAATTTTTTTTTCAGTATGTCTGAACAGAAGCGAATGGCAAGATGGTATTTTGGTGGATTAGCAAGCGCTGGTGCAGCATGTATTACACATCCTTTAGATCTACTGAAAGTAAGACTTATAAAGTAATTACGTTTCTCTAACTTTTTTTTCCCAACCTGATTGCTAAGAGTATTAGGAGAGTTATCAGTTTGTAACAATGTTTAGAATCCTACACCAGGGGTGTATATTTTCTCGGAAATTTTTTTTTCCCGCAGATGTTTGTTATTTTTAAGGATTTTATTTGCTGAATTTTTAAATTAAATTATTTATAGGGGAAAATATAATTTTTTTTGCCTTAAACATATTCAGAAGGATGAAAAATTGCCTTTTGAAGTTAACTTTTTCATTTTTTCCTTACTTCATTTCCTTTTCATTTCTTAAACATATCTACCACTGTCCTACATTGTTAAAAGATTATTTTTATAATTTTTAGTTAAAAATTCCAAGAGACTTTAATTTCAAGTTACCCTTTTTACAAAGTACCCTTAAAAGCTTTGTCTGAATAATTATAAATTGGATATAATTTTTATTTTTTATTTTTTTAACTAGACTCATAGAAAAGATGAGAATCAAATTCTTGTAAACATAAAAACATTATTGTTCAGATCAAGGGTTCAAGGGTACCATTATGATTTGGGCATTGCCATCTTAGCATGGTGGGTCATTTAAAATTTCCCTTACAGTCCCTTAAATATTTTCTATACCAAGGTCCATCTACAGACTCAGACAGATAGTAAGATGGGTGTTCTGCAGCAAACAGTCAAAATAGGTTGGTTAAATACATTTGTTTGAGATAAATTTTTAAATAAGGGTAATTCTTTTAGGAAAACACTTGATATCTTTGTTTCAAATACTCATTTCATTTTTAAACATATTTTCTTGAATATTCTAAATTGTTTTTAAATTCTTTTACATTCTCAGCAGTGAACTCATATTTTATTCTGCTTGTACAGATGCTTTGATTAGATGTTGACATGTACTTTTAGAAATATCCTTGAATGTCAGACCTTGAACTTTTATTAATGTTAAATAATATTTAGTCAATTCATATGAAGAAGGTTTATTAACCTTGTATATGTTTAGTGAAGGGTGAAGATGTACTAGCTCTGTATAATGTTTAGTGAAGGATGAAGGTGTACTAGCTCTGTAGTCTGTATAATGTTTAGTGAAGGATGAAGGTGTACTACCCCTGTATAATGTTTAGTGAAGAGTGAAGGTGTACTACCCCTGTATAATGTTTAGTGAAGAGTGAAGGTGTACCACACCCCAGTATAATGTTTAGTGAAGGATGAAGGTGTACCACACCCCAGGATTATGTTTAGTGAAGGATGAAGGTGTACCACACCCCAGTATAATGTTTAGTGAAGGGTGAATGAAGGTGTAACACACCCTAGTATAATGTTAAGTGAAGGGTGAAGGTCTAACACCCTGTATAATGTTTAGTGAAGGGTGAAGATGTAATACCCTGTATAATGTTTAGTGAAGGGTGAAAGTGTACTACCCCTGTATAATGTTTAGTGAAGGGCGAAGGTGTAATACCCTGTATGATGTTTAGTGAAGGGTGAAGGTGTTCTAGCTCTACATAGTGTTAAGTGAAGGGTTAAGGTGTTCTAGCTCTATATAATGTTTAATGAAGGGTGAAGGTGTTCTAGCTCTATATAATGTTTAGTGAAGGGTGAAGGTGTTCTAGCTCTATATAATGTTTAGTGAAGGGTGAAGGTGTTCTAGCTCTATATAATGTTTAGTGAAGGGTGAAGGTGTTCTAGCTCTATAAAATGTTTAGTGAAGGGTGAAGGTGTTCTAGCTCTATATAATGTTTAGTGAAGGGTGAAGGTGTTCTAGCTCTATACAATGGTTTATCTGCATCTCTGGTTCGACAGCTCACATATTCCACAACACGGTTCGCTATATATGAGGTAAATTATATTCTAAGGACTGTATAGTGTATATCGTTGTAAGTTCGCTGACCTTTTTTGAAAGAGGGGCCATGTCATAACTAATCATAAGTTCATTCTTTAAGACTTTGGTTGATTAAAAATATGAAAGATATCGTTTTTTTCCAGCTTTAAAAGTCTTTAATCCTCACGATTTCCTCCGCTGTTTCTAAAGCAGAATTGGGCAATTTTTAAAGAGAAATTGATCTATATTTTTTAAACATTCTTGATAAGCCTTCTTCTGTTGTTATTCGAACATTCCATTATATTATTTTTTAGATGTATATTTTACTTACCAATTTTCCATCCTTCCTTATAAACAGTTATCAATTTTTCAAACTTCAAAGTAAAGTTTGCCTGAAGCGCAGTTTTTTGGCTGAATTTATAGTTTTTGAAAAGGTTACTTCAAGTTTTAAACAAACTGTACAAGTCTGATTTATAAAAGTGTAACTCTGTAAAAATGTTTGAGTAAGTAAGTAAGAAAATTTTAGTAAATTTGAAGTTTTTAAAAGAATTATTGAAAGCCAATTGTATGCTTCAATTAAAATTTTTTAAAAACTTTTTTTAACCTTTTTGGGAATTGAAAAACTAGCATTTTATTATGTTTAAAGTTTTCATTTGAATTGAATTGAAAATCGAAAATATATTCTAAGGAACAAGTTTAACTTGGAGAATTGTATTTTATTGAGAAATGGTAGTGGGTGTCTTGTTTGAATTATCTGCTTAATGTCTATTGAGAAATGGCAGTGGGTGTCTTGTTTGAATTATCAGCTTAATGTCTAATGAGAAATGGCAGTGGGTGTCTTGTTTGAATTATCTGCCAAATGTCTATTGAGAAATGGCAGTGGGTGTCTTGTTTGAATTATCTGCTAAATGTCTATTGAGAAATGGCAGTGGGTGTCTTGTTTGAATTATCTGCTAAATGTCTATTGAGAAATGGCAGTGGGTGTCTTGTTTGAATTATCTGCTAAATGTCTAATCCTTTCAGAGTACATACAAAATAAATTATAGATATTTATATTTTTGTATTTTGTTCATTTTATCCTTGGAATAATGATAATCTGATCCTCTTTTGATGTATTTCAAATTTAATGAAACATTCTGAGAAATAGCTCTCTTGTTTTTGTTTTAGTATTTAATTTATTTTTATATTTAAAACATAGTACATCAAAATGTCAATTTTTTAACATCCACCAACAATCATTTATTTTTTCCAATTCAGCGAATACCATCTTGACTAAAAATTACTTTTTAAATATGGTGGTAGAGGTGGGGTTAAAATATGTCGACATTTTTATTGTTTTCAAGTTTTTAGAATGAATTTGAGTTTTCAATAACACTCCTTGTTAAGAAAAGCATGTTTGTTTTGGTATTGAAAACAGGTCGAGTTTAGAACGCAATAAACGGATTTGAAATGACGAAGAATGTATTCAAGCTTAGCAAAGAAAACAACTTTCCCTGAAATGTTATTTTCTGTCTAAAAATATCCATTGAAAAGAATTAAAATAAAACGCAACATATTTCCGAAAACGTAGTTACAATGTATCTTTTACTCTCGAGACAAATTAGAATCAATCGGGGTTTTAAATTTCCATTGATTCTAATTTGTCCGAGAGAAAATGACATTCCTATGTAAAAAAAATAACAAATTATTTTTATTATTTATTGTTATTTTTAAAAGGGGCGCAATTAAAATGAAAATTATTACCTACCAAAAAAACAGCTTTTTATAAAGGATTGAATATTGAATATCACCTAAAAGCATGAAAGGAAACATGATTCAAATAATATTTATAAATTTTACAGAATTGATTAATTTAAATTGTGTTTTTTACTTAAGAATCGATCAGGCAATTCCCATTACATTCGTATTTTTGACAAAATGTACCAAACATAGATAATTGATAAGCAATTTTGCAAATTAGCAATTTTGCACCCACTCAACTCAGAATTTATAAACCAATCTACGAGTTTTCGTGGTTCTTCCAAGTTCCCCAATGAAAATTGTAGGGACATCAGTTTAGGGGTATCTGAGTTATGATCGGTCAAACAAACAGATATTTTTTATATAAAGTGAATGACAAGGCCTTTCGGTTTTAATATTAAGGACATTCTCAATATTAGCTCGTTACAGTATTTACCATCAAGCTCTCTTCTTAAGATATGGAATAACCTGCCTCTTGACTTTAAAAGAAGCACCTCTTTCAGTATATTTAAAAATAGACTACTAAATTCTCTTTTTGAAAATTACATTACAATGTGTTATAAACCGAATTGCTATTTTTGTAAAAAAAAAATAGGAACGTTTTAATATGCTTTGATATATGTTGTGTACATGTCAGAAATTTACTTTAAACTCCAGTTTTTATAACAAGTGTGTAAACTATCGCACCCTGATCTCTAATAGTTCTCCTTAAAAATATTTAATTGAAATGTGTTGCTATCATTATTGAAATTACGTGGGGAAAAAATCAAAATTTCCAAGAGCTATTTTATACCTAATTGCTTTATACTTGTACTGTTAATATAATTATCGATTTGTAATTGTAAACTCGTGCTGTACACAGATACATGTACTTCAGCAATAAACTCTATCCATCTATCTATGTACGTCATCCTTGCTCGGACAAGGCTTATAAGGATACCTTAGTATATCGGACATGCCACTCTATAAATGGAGAGTCACTAAAAATCACGTCTAGTCTCTTAAATATGATTATAAATATATTCCAGTTAGCAAAGCAGTCTGCAGCCCCGAATGGTGAGAAGATTCCCTTCCTGAAATCCCTTGTGATGGCTGCAGTAGCTGGGGGGTGTGGAGGGTTTGTGGGTACTCCAGGTATTAACTTTAACAAGCTGGGGGGTGTGGAGGGTTTGAGGGTACTCCAGGTACTAACTTTAACTATCTGGGGGGTGTGTAGGGTTTGTGGGTACTCCAGGTACTAACTTTAACAAGCTGGGGGTGTGGAGGATTTGAGGGTACTCCAGGTACTAACTTTAACTAGCTGGGGGTGTGGAGGGTTTGTGGGTACTCCAGGTACTAACTTTAACAAGCTGGGATGTGTGGAGGGTTTGTGGGTACTCTAGGTACTAACTTTAACAAGCTGGGGGGTGTGGATACTCCAGGTACTAACTTTAACTAGCTGGGGGTATGGAGGGTTTTTGTGTACTCCATGTACTAATTTTAACTAGCTGGAGGGAGTGTGGGTACTCCAGGTACTAACTTTTTACTTGCTGGAGGGTTTGGAAAATGCGAAAAATCCAGAAATATGCCTTTTTCAAACAGGGATATGAAGTCTCTGAAAGTACTCCCTCTATTTTCTCGGGAGAAAAAAGGTACCACCTAAACACAAATCTCTGGTGGTGTGATCTTAGGTGTGTAATTTATCCCCCCCCCCCCCTTCTTATTTCGCGAAACAGATAAAAGAGAAATTTCGCCAAAAAATGCGATATAAATGAGAAACGATTTTCCCTTTTCGTTGTAAACCCTAGTCTGGAGGGTTTGTGGGAACTTTAGGTACTAACTTTAACTTAATAAATGGATAAACTTGGTAGAACTATTTTTCATATTATATTATACAGTGGCTAAAGGTAGACAGTAGACTACAGGGTTACCCATAAAGAATAATACTTTAATGAGGACCTATGACTCTTTTTACAAAGCGATCTGATTATTGATTTTTAGATCTCCCTAAACTATATTCTTTTAATTGTTAATTTAATGATTTGGCAAACTGAAAGTTCACAGCCGCGAAACATGAATTTAAGATAAATGATTGAAAATTTCTGAAAAATTGTCTCTGAAGTATTGTATTTTGTGAATAACCCTCTCTGTACCTACAATAGTAGAAACTGACATACATTGCAATCGCAACCTGATGTAAAAATGAGTTTAAAAAATGAGAAAAAAAGAAAGTTTTTAATTATAGTCGCGACTAATATATTTTGTGAATACCATTTATCAGCTAAAGAAGCGTGAGGTCAATAACCCCCCCCCCCCCTCTCCAAATTATTAATATAATTTAAGGTACTGAAAGTGTAAATGAATTTAACCCTCCATTCAAAGACGGCAAAGCATGATTTACAACGGTACCTTCACGTTGAATTAATCTTTCGGCTTATCCTGTGATTAACCATGACTTTCGTATACAATTTGACTTAATAAACTTATTAAACTGTTCACTTTTTGAAGGGACAGACCGGCTATGCAGTGTTGTGGAAAAATTCTTTAGGATTCATTTGAGACATATAAAATGTTTCCACGATGTATAATTACTGAGTTTTAGCGCAAAGTCGACGTTCGAAATCATAAATTTGGGTGGCCATACGTTTTCAGAATCGGTTTTTTAAAATTATTAAATAGCGACGACGAAAAATGTAGTAAAAATTCTTTAGTAAACTGATTAGATGTTTAGGAACATATTTCTCAAAAGAAATTTGTCAATAAATCGAAGTTAGAATGAATTTTTCCCTTTTTCATTATTATTTTGAATTTCTCATTTTCTATGAACTTGTTCGAAGTTTTCCTAATATTCTTCAAATGTCGTTTTTTTAGTAAAAATTCTAGAAAATCGGCAGAAAATCTTTGTGATGAAAGAGAGATTATAGAAACTAATAATTGAAAAAGATTTTTATTTTCTCAATCTGTTCCTAAACAACTAATTAGTTCACTGTAGAATTTTGTTTACATTTTTGTCGTCGTTATATAATAATTAAAAAAAACTTATCCTCCCAAAAGTATGATTTTGAACGTCGACTTTGCGCTCAAACTCAGGATTTACAGATATTTAAAAGTTTTAAATGTCTTAAATGAATCCTAAAGAATTTGTCCACACACTGCATACTGAGTTTAACTACCTTACAAAGCCGGTCTGTCCCTTTAAGGTAAAATATAAGAAAAGAACAAAAAATGTTGAATTATAGACCAACAGGGGATTAATTATAATAAAAGAATCCGAATAATCTTCGTCCCGGTTGGTATGGGGAACGCTTAAAATCTTCTGATCAATCGTCTAGAACGCATTTTTGTTTTTCTAAGTTTAAAAGTCACTTTGTAGAGAAACCACAATTGAAATAATCATTTCTTATATATATACTTGATCAGACAATGTTTTTTAGGGGGTTGAATCGAGTATTTACATCTTTGAATGAAGGAACATTTGAAATTACGCTTCCAGTCCCTTTAAAACAATATTGTGCAGGTGACATGGTGAATGTAAGAATGCAGAACGATATTAAACTTCCTCTGGATCAAAGAAGAAAGTAAGCTTTGTTAAATATTAATTCAGAAAACTTCACTAGCAAACAGAGTACAGACTTTACTCCAGAAAGGAGTTGTTTTTCAATATTAAGAATTTGGATTTACATATAATACACTAAACTCTAAACTAGGGTGCGGGTGCGAAACTAGGGTGCTTCGCACCCATCTTCTATTTCTACTTTTAATTGTGGCTCTATCTGCGAGTATCTTCTCTTTGTAATAATACAACATTAAAGTTCGCAGATTTCATAATATTTGTTTGTGAAGATTTAAAATTTTATGAAAATCGAAAAATTTTGAGACAACTTTTAGAAATTGTAAGCATTCATAAACATTCTCTGGGGTCAGATGCGGTATCACACAAAATTTGGGCCCAATCGGTTAAGCCGTTATGACGTTTATTTGATACAAACAGACAGACAAACATCGAAACAAGCAAAGTAATGTTATGTAAAATACTTTCCAAATGCCTACTGCTTGATGTACTGATGTACATTCAGGCGCGTAGATGAGTTTTAGCCTAAGGGGGGTGCACTTATGGCGCGAAATTTTTGTTTGTTTTTGTGCACCCCCTAACGGTTATTGTGCACCCCCCTAAAAAACCGGTATTAAGAAAAAATAAAGTTTAAAATCTTTATTAATCTACCTGAAGGCTGACTATTAGTCATCTGACCATAATCACCAATCATTTTAAATGAAACCCCCCAAAAAAATGTACATAAGATTAAGGTACAAGAAAGAATTTGAGAAATAATCATAAAATGGACAAATTGTGACATTGTCGATTGATAAGAAAAGTAAAAAATCTGAATATATATGTAAGTTTACATTAGAGCCTGCCTCTGGCTATAGGGGGGGGGGGGCCTAGGGGGGGTGCATGTCTAGGGGGGCACGGGGGTCCCGCCCCCCCCCTCCACTACGCGCCTGGGTGCATTAAGTTGCATAGTTTTTGGATTGTTTTGTCTTCCAGGGTCAAAATTTGCATAGTGAAATTTTTTAACACTAGGCTAATATGTGTGCAAAAAAAAAACTAAAAAACTATCAAAAAAACAAGCTTGTTTAACGATTGATTCTCCATTTTCTTAGTTTAAAATAAAAACCTTGCAAAGTTTAATAAAAGCAAACTTTGACAGGATACAGTTTTAAACTTGAAAGTTTTATTAAAGTTTTAAAAAAACGATTAACAGCACCTAGCTTTACCTCTCAGTCTTCAGTTTGAATGGTTGGCAGACATGTGGTCGCAGTTTTCGTGCGATTTCTCTTCCCTTTATAGTGGCAACCTTATTTATTTCGGTCGGATATTATCGATTTATGTCATTTGTGTTCAAACGGTTAAGCTAATCACCTATCATAATAGAGGCAATGGAAGTATTTTTAAAGTTAAATCTGACTATATTTTATTGACTATTGTTGAACAGATTTTAGGTGTTATGCATTTTTGTGGTTCTTTACGAAGATGCATAAATTTGTGTGAAATATTCCCTGGTAAATAACTAGCTGGTGAATAGCTTGCTTCATCATATTTCTTTTCTTATGAATACAAGAAGAGTGGAATAATTTATTATGGCTTATTGACTGGAAGGGTATAAAAAGGAAAGGGAGAACGTATCATATGTATTCTACAGGGTGTCCCAATAAATTCGATATCGTCTTTTCAAATAATTCTTTGATTAAGTATAGTGATACCTACTGAGAAAGATTTTCGTCTGCTATGTTTACAATTTGCTTGTTGGTGTTTTGACTGCATACGATTGTACTTAGTAAAACAACAAAATGACAGTATAAAAACAGAGTACACTTGTCCGTCTTCACTGTTCATCTTGCAGAAACATTATAATCACATCTTTGCGGCACTTTACCGTTTTCATAAAATAAACTCTAGCAGACATAATAATATTATGACTTATGATATCATGTATTGCAATGCTAATTCATAACAAAGACGATGTCGAATTCGTCACTGAATTCCCATGTTTATTGGGACACCCTGCAAAAGAAGAGAAAATGTACTTGAATCAGGATTCACAAAAATCTTTATGTCTATCAAAATGGGAGATCATTTTTCATCATAGAAGTTAATTTTGCCTTCAGCCGGGGTGCGAAATAAGCGAATTTGAGCTTGGTCGCTGAACTGCCTATAGCTGATTCAAATCTTGAATCCTCGATTCAAAATTAAAGATCTATGAGGATTTGAATCGTTGATTCAGGATTTGAACCGGCGCGGCGGTTTGTAGTTCAACGACCTCCCCAATTCATTAATTAGGTCTGTGGCAAAAATTGTTTTCACCCAGGGACTTGTCTAATCAAATTATATTTGATTGATTTTGTGCAACCAGAGGCCGAATTTAACGAATTTGAGCCGCGGCTTAAATTTAAGCCGCGGCTCAAATATGGTTGGCTTCACTTAAAATTGTACTAATTTTTTCAAGATTTAACCCGGCGCTCAATTGAAACCGGTTTTTGGGGGATTTGAGACGCGGCTTTAATTCATTAAAATTTGGACTCAGATTAATGAAAAGAATCAAAATGGAATGCATGTAATACATTAACAAGCAGATATTTTAGAGATTTCTGATCACTTTGTTATTTATAATCTGAAAAGTAAATCTTTTCCACTTAATTGTTTCCTTGAAATTGGTAAATATTAACAATGAATTAATTGTTGTACCATTTTTAATAATGCACGATTTTTCTGTAAAAATAAATTAATTAATTAAGGGGGGGGTGTACAAAGAAAAGAGTTAAATAATTTCGGCAATTAAAACGTTATGAGTGCTCGCAGCATTTTAGATTGAATTAAAAATCTTTTGAACTACGAGGAAAAGTTTCATGGGAAGTTTATTGAAATTCTTTTGAATCAAGTATTATAGCAGTAATTGTTAATTCGCTCAACTTATAGCTTCTTCGGATCTGCCAAGATGCTACGGAAGAAAAAAATATATTTTGTATATTTTGCTGCATTGTATTACGTGATTATATTTTTCTCTATTGAGGTTTTTTTGCCAGAAGTTTAAATTCAAGTTTTTCTGTATTTCTTCTTTTCTTAAAATAAAAATCATAGATAAGCAATGATTTGTAAAAATCGCACAAAAAATATTAAATAATTATAAAGAAAATTATGTTTATGACAATTTGAATATTTGTGCAAAAAAATTGTGTGCAGATTTTTACTCTTTTTTTAATCAAACCGAAAACTAAAAAGAATAAGTGGTATTCTCATTAAAAAATAAGTTTATTAATATAATATGCAATATTATGTTTAGAAAAACTTACAATACTGTACTGTCCTCTAATCTAATTCTAAAGAAATGTTAGTCATAATTAGATATTATTAGATAAATATGTTAGAAATATTTTGAATTTAATGTTAAACCATTGAATCACCTCGACAAAAGATTGTACGAGTTTAGACTACTGATGTGCATTAAATTGATTAGTTTTTGGTCTATATTTTGTTAGGGTCAATATTTGGCATAGTATTAGATAAGCAAATGTGTTTAACAGAAAATAAAAGCAAAATATATAATAAAATAAGTTTTGATATCAGTTATTTAAAATCGAATCAGAACAGTTAACAATATTACTCGAAACTAGTGTTCGGAGCTCTAATAAATCTTTGTTTAAATGCTGACGACAATCCTCTAATTAAACTTTGTTTAAATGCTGACAACAATCCTCTAATTAAACTTTCTTTAAATGCTGACGACAATCCTCTAATAAAACTTTGTTTAAATGCTGATGACAATCCTCTAACTAAACTTTGTTGAAATGCTGACGACAATCCTCTAATTAAACTTTGTTTAAATGCTGAAGACAATCCTCTAATTAAACTTTGTTTAAATGCTTACGACAATCCTCTAATAAAACTTTGTTTACATGCTGACGACAATCCTCTAATTAAACTTTGTTTAAATGCTGACGAAAATTCTCTAATTAAACTTTTTTAAATGCTGACGACAACCCTCTAATTAAACTTTGTTTAAATGCTGACGGCAATCCTCTAATTAAACTTTGTTTAAATGCTGACGACAATCCTCTAATTAAACTTTGTTTAGATGCTGATGACAATAGGTCAGCTGTGTTTCTATGACCAAGTAAAAGCTTTCCTGCTCACCACACCGTATTTTACTGATGGTATAGCGACCCATATGACGGCCAGCCTGGCTGCGGTAAGATTATGATTTCTTACGATCTTCCCCCCACACACGGCCCCACCCTGCTCTTGAAAATTAACCCACTGGGTTAAATGAATTTTGTAGGATGAAAAAAAAATGGGGGGCGGGGGGGGTATCGGTGTACCACAATCTGTACTAAAATTAAATTAAAAAATATATCAATTATATATAAGTATTGTATTTCAATGATTTTGTATTGATGTAATAAGGGGCAAAACCTTACTGGTAAAAGAAACCAATTAAAAATTCAGAGGTCAGATTTAATGAAAAGCAATGTAGTTTAACTCTGTCTTAACCCGTAATTAAAGAAATGTTTGTCCTACGTATGTACACTGTACATAAACTAATGTATTGCAGGGTGCTATTGCTACGACGATGACCCAGCCCCTTGATGTTCTAAAGACAAGATCAATGAACGCTAAACCTGGAGAGTTCAGAGGTGCACTTCATCTCATATCCTTCACGGCTAGCCAGGGACCAACTGCATTCTATAAGGTATACACTGTTCAGTGTTCAGTGTTCAATGTCTACGACATCGGGTCTACAACTAGAGATCTGCATCCAACGAACGAACGAATGAAATTTTTCGTGAACGATGTTGTCATTCAGAAAAATAACTATCAGTGTACGAACGACTTTAATCGTTCAGAGAAATGATAAAACGATAATTTTTTTAACCCAACAGATTAAAATCGTTCAAACGAGCTTGAAAAAACTATAGTTTACTAAACGAACGATTTTTTCGAACAAACTTTTGAAGAAAACCATGGTTTTGCTTTGCTGAGAGAACGATTTTATTGAACGATTGTTTGTGGCGAAAACGAACAAATTTATGGAAAATGGATGATAATTTTGAGAACGAACGAAATAAAGGGGGGGGGGCATGAAACGTATTACTCTCCGGAAAATTTAAACAGTGTTTAAACATAACTTAGAATTGTCGAAGGAGGCTGATTTTTTGCATACAAACTCGGAATTATGTATATTATATGCATTTTTTGGTTTTGAAGGAATCTGAGAAAAAGTTCGCGCGCGCGCTTTTTATGAAAAAAGATGACCCATAATGTAATAGATTTTTCATGAATAATGATGAATTTGTTTAGGGATACCTGCCAGCCTTTGTTAGACTGGGGCCTCATACCATCCTCACCTTTGTATTCTTTGAACAACTCAGAATGAGATTTGGATTTATTCCTACCAAATAATCCTGCCAACTTATCAAATATTTAGACTAGTAGTAATCTACAGGGTTTAATTAATAATGCCTATATCTGTTCCAATACACATCAGTTAATTTTTTAATGTTAGGTATTGCCCAAATAAATTTTCCAAAGGTACATCTTCATCTTTTTTTTTTCCAAATTGATGCTTTCCAAAATTTAAATCTTGCTAATATAAGGAATTTTTGGTACAGTTAGTAAAAAATTTGAAGAAAATATTGGTACAGTTAGGTTATGGTTGTGTAAAAATTTTGGTCCGAGCGCTGCTTCGAACATTTTAGAAAGTGCATTTGGAATTATACATATGGACATGTCCAATTGGAAAAACTGCTAAGGAAATGTTTTTTTTTGGAAATTACCTCATGATTTATGACGTATTATTTATAGAAGTAATAAGAAGTGTTAGTGCCAATCTTCCCTTAATTTCTTGAGTTGAATATTGATGTAATTTCAGTTTCCTTTGCGGGCAAATTTGGGTCTTGTTTTTTACAGCTGCCAATTTTGAATAATAAAAACGTCTGATAACAATTGTAAATTAATGTTATACAGTGTGTTTCGATAAACTTGGGAATGGAGAGACGACTTAAATATCGTCTTTAATTTCTCACAATAGATAAATGACATAAAGATTGTACGTCTTATGAGCTTTACAAAATCTTGTCTACCTTCCTTGTATTTTTCCTTGTATTGACGGAAATATTAAACATTTAAACGGTTTGTTGATTTTGAATAAACTGGAATCTGGGCAAAATTCCTAAAATCTCCGTCAATTTTGAAGGTGAAAAAACTAAAGACCACATTTTGGAATGCTCCAAGACTAGTAATCGTCGATTTACTGTGATAATACAAAATAATGTGTACGAAATAATCCCGTTTGGAACAAAGACGATAAAGAAGTCGTTTAATTCCCATGATTACCAGCACACCCTGTATCTCACCTGTTTCTGTAAAATTCAGCCGCTTTATTTTTTATATTTCTCAATTTTGATAGGAAGAAAAATATGACTCGTGAATTTAGCAACCATGTGCATGTTGTGCAGAAGATTAATATCAATTTTTGCAAAATATGGCAATTTTCAAAACTTTGATGGAAATATTACTTTTTCTTCTACCGGGTATTCAATTAGAACCCTATTTATTAGAGTATCCAGCGTTAACGAGACCAGATAAAGGTTTAGAGATTTAGGTAATCATTTATTTCTCCATTTAAGGAATAGTTAAGTTCAAATTAAAACTTCAATTACTGAATATTGAATCCGTCTGATGAAGGTTTCCTTGTTTGTATCAAAGCAATATGTTACTCAGCGTCCTCATTATTGCAATATTCTAATCTAAACTTGAAAGGAGAAAATCTACAAAAATATTTAGTTTTGTATTAAAAGCAGAACGTGATGCTTTCATGTTTAGTCTGTTCATACATTTACGATATTTAAAACAAAACTGTACTCAGATTTTGCCTTCTTGTTTTTCCTGTTATTTCAACAGTACATTGTAATTTAAAATTGGGGTTTAAATTTAGAACATAAACAACTCTTTACTGACCAATCTTGATTGCCATTCTTAGGAGCAGGTGTAATCTTATTCCTTAAATTACGAAGAAAATGGAAATTTGACAGTTTAATAATTTTCAGGACGTCCTGTTTTGTACTGTTTCTCTTTTAAGTAAACAAATTTGGTGTGAGGGAGTTAATCTTAATTTAGGGTTTTCAGACACATGTTGAAAACATGTGTCTGATATTATAAGAAACCATGAAACTTTGTTATTATTAGTTTACAGAGAAAATATTGCGATATTAAGCAAGTTTTAGAGATCTGGACATTTCATCTGTACAGTTTTGTTTATTTTATCTAAAGTTTGTTGATTTCATAAATAAGAAGGTTTTTCATAAACATTTAATAAAATCATTAGGCAGTATAAGATTAATAGTGTTGCATATTTAAACATATCTGTAATTAATTCTTATGAAATGTTAAAAGTTTGTAGTTTTATATTTTAGTAGAAAATTTTGAAAATATATTATTCTCATAGATTAAGAATTATCTTACCAAAATATTATTATTCTCCGCTTTATAATAATGCTCTTCGCTCATACATACATGTTAGCTATAGCTGGGCAAACGGTTGGACCAAATTGGTTGACATTTTTCTAGGAAACCCATGGGTAACCTGGAGGTAAGATTGGCTAAAAATATTTTGTTTTCAGAATTCAAAACTTTTTATTTAAGCGAGGGTTTAAAATTCTTCGGGCAACGCCGGACACTTCAACTGGTAGGTTTTTAAGTTTTAATTTACAAACTTGTTTTTTTGTAGTTCATGGCTGGAAAGGTTAAACCGAAAAGTTTTTTTTAATTTGTAAAAAATTTGGAGAATCAAAGTCTGAAATGTATTTTCTTTGTTATTCTGATTATGTTCAAACTAACTATTTGTAGTTTTGTAAACTTTTTATATTGAATCAAAAAGATAAGGAAGCGGTAGTATAGTACACTAATATAAGGTCGAAACCATTGGAAGAAATCGCGCGTCCTAATAGTAATTATTTCAACTAGGTAACAGTAAATGGCAGGTAGGATATAAGGGTAGCCCTCCTCCCTTTTAGAGTGCCCCTGAAAAAAATTCCAAGATGTGCGACACAGTTTTTTGGAAGCATTAGGGTAAACATTTTGGCCTATTTATGGGCTAAATTCTCAGGTGGAGCTGACGAAAGGTTTAAAAAAGGTGCAATTTTCACATGTTAAAACAATAAAAACGCAATTCTTTTTCTAAATACTGTTAAATATCGTCATAAATGAATTCCAAAATGCGTTCACACTTCAAAATCCCTAAAAAATTAACTGAGTTAATACAATTTAGACAAGAATAGTTTTGAAAGGCGGGAAAACAGTAAAATGGCGGGCTCATTCAGGAAAATTATTTTAAAATGCTAAAATTTCGTATTTGAGCTAGTTTTACCCTGATGCTTCCCTAAATATGTGTCTCACATCTGGGAATTTTTTTTCAGGGGAACCCTACCTACCCCCCCCCCGCCCCCGCACACACACATTTCTTGGTTACATTGTCCAATAACATGTATGAGACTGTTATCTAATTTAATTTTGTGAAAACGTGAATTTGTTGTGTTAATATAATAGACATATGTGTATATAATATACAGATGGGCCTAGTTTTTGTGAATGACCGAAAACTTTGAGAAAAAAAGAAAAAAATCGTGAATAATGGTTTCATTCAGAAACACTCGTAAAATTTTCCTGAACGAACTAATTTTCTAAAAGATTTTTAAAAACAATCACTTTTTTACCGAACTAAAGATTTTTAAAGAATTATTTACGAAAAAATGATCGTTTTATTTTGATGAAAGAACGATTTTTCGGAACGATCGCTCAGTAAACGACAATTCGAATTTTCGCATTTTGCAAAAATATTTTCGTGAAAACCATGGTGTTAAAGCTGTATTTTGCTTTTTTCTAAAAACAGATTAAATCAAAAATGCGAAATTTTCGCGTAACGATTTTTCCTTTTCGCTGTAAACCCTAATCCGAATCCTCTGCGAAAGATGGTCCATAGCATTCGTTGTGGATAATACAGATTAACATCAAATGACAAAAAATATGGGAATGTGACCGTTATATAAACACCCTCCATGCAAAGATGGTAATTTCCAAATGACATCAGTACCCTGAAAAGCTTTGTCTGATCAAGTATGAATTAGATGTTATTGTTTATAATTTTGAAAACTGGTTATTTTAAATTGTTTCTCTACAAAAGTGATTTGCCTATTTCTATCGCTGAAAAAATGGGAATTAGAAATTTTCAAACCTAGAGAAATATTAATATTTTCCACATCATTAATCAGATATGGGTTTTGAGGGTACCGTTGTAAATCGGGCATCTTCACATGGAGGGTCTCTTGAAATTACGCTCAGAGAACCTTTTATAAGACTTTCTCGTACTTAAGATTAAATCATGTGAGGCTCTGATGCACGAGGCGGAAAAAGCAAATTACTGGATTAATATTGTGGGTTCAAATTAAAGATTAAATACAGTTGTATAATATACTGGGTTACCTGCAAAGGATGAGACTGTAAATACGACCAAAAACTTTAAAAAATTACGATTTGAAATTTGATTTTTACTTTATACATTCAATTGAGTATTTTGTTGGGTTACATAATGATTAATTTCAGATATAAGCCAGTTTTGGCGTATAAGGAACTCAGAATGGAAGAAAACGGACTAAACAAACTCTGTACAATCGTCTCGTGAAGTTTCATCCTTTGTGGGTAACCCTGAAAAATTACGAAAGTTCTTCTTTAATGTTCTATTTAATTAGGAATAGTTTCTTTTAGGAATATTTTTATAGTTAAAAAAATATTAGATATATTGGGAGACGTTACCATTTAACCTAGGTTTAGTTTCCCTTTTCCTAAACAATTTTAGCTTCTAACAGTTGCATGCTCTATGTCGCCATTTTTTTAACATTTTTTAACAGGCAAAATCTTTCAATAAACATATTCCCTGGAGTCATTTGGTCCGATCGGTTCAGCCGTTTTGACGATACAAACATATAGACGAGTGTCCAAATTGTTAATAAAATAAAATAAAGATTTAACGTCTTGAAATGGTTAAACCCGATAAAGCTGAAAATCTTACACCGTAGCTTTCAGTCGCTTTGTGTTGTGTCCCCTTTCCAATAACATATTTAGCTTATTGCTCTGAAATTTGCCATTTTTTAATCGTTCTCTAATTTTCGCGGATTTTTCTGCTTAATTTAACGCATTTTCAAAGATGATAAATGTGTGTTATATAAATAAAAATCGTTTTCTCTTAAAAATCATGACTACGGTGTCGGGTTAAGGAAGATTCTAACTTTTTTGTTTTCAAAGAAAATATAGAACTTTGATATCTACCAAACAGCTTAGTTAAGTTTAGTTTAGAAAACTTTCCTTCACAGATTGAAAAGCTCTTTGAAACCATATAAAACGATAAAAAAGTTGTCTAAAATTTCTTTTTAAAGATACATCCTTTATCCCTAAGTATTTGCAACATATTATATCCTGCATCCCCATGTGATATGCATATCCTGTATCCCTGAGTTGCGTATATATCCTATTAGAGATGGGCATTGTTTTTTAGACAAACAAAATTTTTCGCGAAGGATGGTGTCGTTCAGAAAAAAAAACTAACGACGGAAGAAAAAAATCAAAAAATTTCAAAAACGAGCATTTCAAAACGTTAGAACAATTTTGATCGTTCATCAATGATTTTTTTAAACTAAACAATTTTTTGAAACTAACTTTTTAAAACAACTTTTTTTTCACTGAAAGAAAGCTTTTTTCAAAATATTTTTAGAAAACGATTTTTTTTAACTAAACGAATGATTTTATTGAACGATCGTTCAGCAAGAAAACGAACGAAATATATAGATATCCTATATCCCTTAATACATTCTATGTGTATCCTGTATCCCTGAGTTTTGTATATCCGATATCCCTGAATACATTCTATGCATATCCTGTATCCCTGAGTTGTGTATATCCGATTATTCCTAAACATATTCTGTATCCCTGACTCTTGAGTTATTTCACAAAACATATGCCACATGTATCGTATATTACTGAGTTGTGTACTGTATATCCTGTATCCCCGAGTATATGCCGTTTATATCGTGTATCTAGGTATGTTAACTTTTTCATTTTTTTTAACGATCGTTTCGTTATGAAAACGACGACGAAAAATCGAAAACGAAACGATCGTTTTTAAAAACGATAGTGTTTTTGAAGTTTGTTTTTTAATTTAGTCGTTTACAAAACGATCATTTTTCAAAACTATGTCGTTTTTTATAAAAATCGTTGTTTTTTAACGATCGTTAACGACGACCCTTCCTTAACGATCGTTAACGACGAACCTTCGTTAACGATCGTTAACTACAACACTTTGATAACGATCGTTAACGAAGAGAGGAAATCGATCTGAAGGGCATCTGTACTTATCATTGGGTTATTTTTAAGAAAATATCAAGAAGTTTTAGCTCCCCCACAACTGTTTAGCTTCATGTAAGGCAACTTTCAATAAAGTTTCATGTAATTTTTTTTCAAAAACGTGTTTTTCCAAAAATGACCGTTTTTATAAAGTTCGTCGTTTTGTTAATGATCGTTAACGATGACCCTTCGTTAACGATCGTTAACATAATTGTCAATAAAATTTTTTTTCAAAAACGATCGTTTTTTCAAAAGCCATCCTTTAAAAAAACAATCCTATAAAAAATGGTCGCAAATCGTTTTTATAAGAACGATTTTTTTCAAAAACGATCGTTATTCGTTTTCTGCTATATCCCTGAATATATGCTACAAATATCCTCTATCCTAGAGTTGCATTTATATATATCCTATCCTTGAACATATGCTACAAATATCCTGTATCCCGGAGTTGCAAATAGCCTAGATCCCTGAACACATGTTACAAATATCCAGTATCTCTGAGTTACGTATATTCTTTACCCTGAATAGATGCTACAAATATCCTGTATCCCTGAGTTATGTATATCCTATCCCTGAATATATGCTACAAATGTCCTGTATCTCGGAGTTGCGTTGTCATATATCCCTAAACACATGTTACACATATCCTGTAACCTAGAGTTGCATATATCCTATATCCTTGAATATATGCTACAAATATCCTGTATCCCAGAGTTGCGAATATCCTATATCCCTGAACATGTTTTACAAATATCCAGTATCTCTGAGTTACGTATATCCTTTACCCTGAATAGATGCTACACATATCGTGTATCCCGGAGTTACGTATATCCTATATCCCTAAATATATGCTACATATATCCTGTATCCCTTAGTTGCATATAAATATATCCTATGTCTTAGAACATATGCTACAAATATCCTATATCCCGGAGTTGCATATATCCTATATCCCTGAATATATTATACGTACGTGTATCCTGAAGTAGCCTCCTCTCACCTCCTCCTCCCATACCGAGGTTGCTTTAGATAATTCCACACCTGGAACTTCCAGTCTTCTTCCAATCCTCTTAGTTTAGATACACATACACAACCACTAGAGCAGATGTAATACAGTTCATTAAACTCTTCAGCTCTGTAGAATACTCTCTTAGATTTCGTAGGAATCTACATCTGGTCAGCAATTCCATTCACTGAGCTATGGTTTAGTCTGAAATCTGATAAAGATCAAATACTAACCATGTAACTTCACTTTTTCCTAAGCATTAGCAACCCAACAACAATGGAGTTTATGGTCTTAAATGAGGTGAGGTCTCCCTCAAGAATTTCTGAGAAGCGGAAATACTTAGTACGGCAGAAAGCTACTGAAGAAAACACTCCCAATACATTCACACGGGAAACCTTATCCCTGTCCCCTTCCAACTGTAAAGTATCATCAGTATTCTCATTTCGTTCAGAAACTGAGGCACCAAGAAACAACCGTCCGTTGCTGTCTCATAGCTATAGAACCCTTTCTGCTGATTACCGGCCACCAGAAGCTCGACTAAGTGTCCAACGACAGAAAACGGCTGACTCAGCACCAAGTCGAGTTAGCAGCAGAGGATCCTCACGTCAACATTCTCTTAGCCAGGGGCATAGTCGGGTTACTCTCATTAGAGGAGAATCCTGCTCCTTGGTTGATATCCCAACCTACCTGGGAAGCTCTGTTGAACTTGGACAGCTTGGTAGTCTAAGAAATCCTCCAATCCAGCTTGTGTTTGCTTCCACCAGACCAAGACTAAGAATAGATTTGACCAAGAAGAAGCCAGAAAAGTCGGCAAAGAAGACACAGTGGACAGTTCTGTGTGTGGCTGTGGCTATGATGACAATGTGCGTAATGTTGGTCGGTACAATGCTCTCCATAACATCAGAATATCAGGTAACCATTAACAAATTTAAAGCCTCATTATAACTGAAATCCAAATAATGTATATGGCAATCATGTGTTGAATAATAATAGTCAAAAATCAAAATGAGAATTGTTATTAATTTGTATTTATATCAAAATTAACATATTCATATTGTAGGACAAGAAAGTGTCAGACATGATAATGAAAAATCAGCCAGAAATATCAGAGAAACGGAATTTACGCTATCATCAGAATAGGCACTCGACCCTAAGACCGGAGTCAAGCAGTTCTGAAACTGGTTACAGAGAAACCACCGTTTCATCAATGCTGCCCAATATCAAATATTCAGACATTGATGTTATTAGATTTAAAGCAGTATATACATAGCGGTGTTTAGATAATTTGCCAAACATCGGACGTCCAAGATCTGATGAAGTAAGTTCCGTATTATCTAGCATTAACAGGAACTTATTGCACTGGCTCTTTACAATCAAAACTTTATCTCAGATCTTAATTCCATGAACGTTTTCAATTTTCAATTCAAATTACTATCGACAAATATCTTTTTCTGTTTCTGTTTTATGAAATAATGGCATCCTGTTGTCTTTATTTTTAACTTGATCAGATAAAGGTATATTTCTGTTTCTGTTTTATGAAATAATGGCATCCTGTTGTCTTTATTTTTAACTTGATCAGATAAAGGTATATTTGTGTTCGCTCATAAATCAAAGTTTTTTAAAATTTTGCCCCTGAATAAAATATTTGTCTATTTCATTGATAATCATTTTGATAAAAGTATATCATAAAATTCGCCACTGTGATCAGTATAATTGTAATATAAATAGATATTTAAATTGTACCAACGTTTTTAACTAATATGTTTAATAAAAATACATAATTGGATATTTTGTTAATTTTGCTAAAATTAGAATTTTCAGATCCGGCAAAGTGAAATTACTGAAGTTTTTCGATGATGTATTCTGAAATTAATACTTTTAAAAAAAAAAAATTTTTTTTAATTTTCTAAAAATTTAACTTAATTTTCCATTGTCATCTCTCAAGAAATGTAAAATTTTCATTAACTAACTTGTTGGAGGCTGACTGAACTTATTAGCACAATTCTTCATTTTCATTTAATGAAATTTGAAATTGGACTTTAATCGTTTAAAGTAAAAAGTTTTGCAAAATGTTTTATTTTCTATCACAATAATACGATGAAAATATAATGAAAAATGTAAATCGTCCATTTGTTGGATACTAACGGAAATAAGTCTTTTCTAAAAACTCAAAATAGCAATATTTGTGCAACCTGATGGAGAAAACCTTATATATTTTAAACTTAGATTATTTGACCCAACAGAGTTCATGGTTTGAAATATTTAGTTCTGCAGCACTGGGTTGCAAAGATATGGGGATTAGAAAATGAGTTTGTGATCAACATTTACAGTATTTTGGTAAAAAATTCCTTCCAAATATGGAAATATCTATTTCTAAAAACAAATTTCAAATTAACATACAAACCCGTTTCAAAGGAATAGATTGTCTATTAGAATCTATTCGAGATAAATAATGTTAAAAAAGCAAGATTAAGATAATAAAAAATTTGCTCGGGTTTGCTTAAAAATTTGTCTTAAAAATATTTTAAAACTTGTTGCCACACAAATGTTAGATTTTTGTTGCAAGAAAGGTTGTAGGATGCAACTTTTTGTAGCAGATATTAGACCTATGTGAATATGTGAATATATTACTAGGAAGAGGGGTGCTCTGGAACGTGAAGTTTATGTGTTTAAATTCTTAAACCATGTTTTCTAAAAATGGTAAATCTCTCAAAGTTTTCTTTTGCAAACTAAATTTACGTTTACACAAAAGCAAGTAATTCAACTCTATTATATACTTTAGAACCAAAGAGAATAGAATACATATTAGAGTGGAATTTAGACAATCCCTCGGTATGAATTTTGTCAGTCCCTCTCAGCCTGAAAGGGAGTTCAAAGTGTACAAATTATGTAGATGTTCACAAATTATATGCAGTAGAGTACATTAATACAGTATGTTCCCTAGACTATCCATTTCAATTTCGAAATTTTTAAAGCTGTTAAATAAACTTTATAAAATGAATAAGTGAATAAAAAACATCATTTGATTTATAGTTACAACGGAAAATCATCGTTTGTAAAATGGAAGGCATAGAGTCATTGGTCAATTTTGAAACAAGCCTATTTCATAATTTGGTTTTCTTTTAATATTAATTTTAGATTTTCTATAAAATGATGTTCCAGGGCCCAAAAGGTTATATAGCACAAATATGTGAAGTACACCTGCAGTATGGAAACATTACATACAACAAAATGGCCGTTTTACACTTTTTTTTCTCGTAAATTCCATTCTCTTTGTTTAGAACTGAATCTTCTTTTACTGTAAATGTTTGACTTAACAACCTTTATAATGAAAAATTGTCTGTAAAGAAAGGGCACGCTATATAATGCTATATAATGCTGTATAATGCTATATAATGTTTTATAATGCTATATAATACTATATAATGCTATATAATGCTATATAATGCTATATATGAATGAACATTTAACTGTGTAAGCACTGTGCATAATTTGCTCAATACTTAATTCTACCTTGGATAAATTCTTGATTTTACTAATTTGATTGATTGCTATTTCGTATAATTTGGTCAATTAGATTTTCAGATCTTTTTAATAACTTAAAATGCATACATCGGCTTAAATGTCAGTGAAATTTTACTTTTTAACTTTTTTTATTTTAGCAAACACTTTTTTTGCTTACGACTTTAAGTGTCACATGCCTTGTTTGATGGCTTAGTCCGACCTAGACCTGTTAACCTTCGGGACTGAATTGTAGAAATTTTAAAAACTTTAAACAACAAAAATTAATTAGAATATGAAAAAGAAAAAGTATATTTGTTTCCAGAAGATATGTTTGACACTTTTACATTAGTACTTTAGTCCTATTTGTCAGGGAAAACATTTAAAGAATTTAAATTCTAACTTACACTTTTAGAAGAGGATTATAAGCTTGAAATGTGTCAAAATTCACAATTAAGTTTTCAATTATACCTTGGGTTTCAAGTAATATGGTGAAATCATTTCGCGAAAATTTCGCATTTTAAGCAACTTATTTTAATCTCGCCGAAAATTTCGCATTTTGTTTCGATCCGTTCGTAGAAAAAAAGTGAAATATATTGCCAAAAAAAAAAAACAAATAAAATTCGGAATTGTCACATACTTTGTTTCTTTTCAACAATTTTTCGCTTGATTTCGCAGAAAAAATTGATGTTAAAAAATGTTTAGAGTATTTACTGCGTGAACCGTAAGTTACTGCAAAAAGTATATTTTCCTGGCACTAGTAAAAAAATATAATATCGCAGTGCAAATTTTTTTTTCTTCTCAAAATCGTATTAAGATTTACGAAGAATTGTTCATGATCCCCCCCCCCCTTCTGCTGATATATTTGAATTCGGATAGGACTCTGAAAAAGTTTGATAAAATTTCTAAATAAAGTTTTTGATCCTTTTTACATCTTTGTTCTTAAACTTTGTTATGATATTTGAAATCTGAATTTGAATTCTTTCTTTAAAACTTTTATGATTCAAAAAATATTTGCCAATTGCAAAATATTTTATAGTTTTTGGTTCCTTGCAAATCTATAGTTTTTAGCTTTCTCAAAAGCTCGTACATGTCACTTCACTTATAAACCCTTTCGCAAATAGGAAATAGGATAAAGAGTTTTCCGCTTGAATAGTTTTTGTCAAAATATCCCTGATTATGAAGCATTAAGGTCCAACGTAGGAAAATGGATGAGGCTCTCCAGAATTCCAATAAATGAAATATAAAATAAAAGCTTTATGATCTTGATGCGCACGTCAGACCTCACTGATATGCCTGACAATTCAGATGAAGCTTATGTATCTAAATTGCTGTAGTAAGAGAAACGAATTTGCAGGATTGTAATCCTGCACAGAGACGAATGAAATATTTTTAGCTTTCTTGCTGAAAATTGTGTGTGTTCGGTCGCTAACTGTCAGTTCTAGGTGTATTACAGGACTGCGTTTTTTTCTGACAATTTTGGAGATGTATATAAAGAAGGTTCTGAGAAAGCTCACCTCAAGGCTATTGAATGGTTTTCCTCCCCCCCCCCCCCCCCCCCCCTTTAAAAAAAAAAGAGAGAAGGGGAAAAAGGGGGGGGGGGGGGGGTTGTAACCTTGTTAAAAATCAGAAGAGATACAGAGTAAAGTTGATTAGGTTCATTCAATTATAATATAATAACATTTTATTAACCATATCCTGGTTAAGCTATTTTTGTCCTATGTAACATAGATTGGTTTGGTTTGGGCTAATAGGGGATAGGGGGGGGGGTGATTAAAGCCCTTCTCTTCTCCCCTTTCACTGTGAATTGTCTTCAGATGGGGATGGTAAATCACTTAAACATGGTAAACGTTTAATACCTACTTCTGTTTATAAATTTGGCTTGTCTGGGTGTTTGTTTGTCTTTTTGTATCCAATAAACGTCAAAACGGCTGAACCGATCGGGCCCAAATTTTGTGTGGGACATCACGTGACCACAGGGAAGGTTTATGAATGAAAAAAATTTTAAAAATGTGATTTAAAGGGTTTTAATTTTGTAAAAAAAATTAAATTCTTGAAAATCCGCGAATTTTTTTTTAAATCCGCAAAATTTTCTTCTTCTTTGTTTTAAAATGTAAATAAAAAGAACATGTACACAATTTAAATAGAAGATGGGCGCGAATGTTTGAGGTAAGTTCAAAAGTTGCCAATGGAAATAAACTTATGGAGCGGACAGGTACTAGGTAGAGATGGGCGTTGGTTTTTTCATTTTGTTTGTTCATCGGTCGTAAAAGATCCATTTCTTCGTTTTTTCAATCGTTCAAAAAATGATTTCCTTTTTTCAAATTTATCATTCATTTTACATCAATTTTGTGTGTTTTCTCACAAGACGCTTGTTCAGTAAAATAGTCCGTTCAATAAAATCGTTGGTTTAGAAGAAAACGATATTAAAAAAAGGTTTGTTCGATTAATCGCAAATTTAATAAAAAATATAGTTTTTAAAAATCTTTCGGATCAATTTCAAATCGTTCAATTTTTTCGTTTTTAAAACGACTGTTTTTTTTATATTTCTGTAAACGGTCCAAGTCCTTCGTCAATTGTTCGTTTTTTTTTTAACGACACCATTGTTGCGTAAATGTGTATTCGTTCTCAAAAATGTTGTTTGTTCCAGAACTATACCCATCTCTACAGAACTATACCCATCTCTACAGAACTATATCCATCTCTACAGAACTATACCCATCTCTACAGAACTATACCCATCTCTACAGAAGGACCGTTAGGTAGCCGTTTGTAGTACTGAACAACAGTTTTATCCGTTCGTTAATGAAGTTAAAAAGTTAATGTTCGATAACGATCTTGAAGTTTTAATGGTATCAACGATTGCTATACCAAACATTCGTTATTTGCATTCACAGTAAACGGCTGTTTTTTATATCTAAATGAATGGTTTTTGGAATAAAATTTCAGAAACATTCAAAAACATAATTACTCATTAGACAAAAACTGTTTTAGCATATCTTCAATACAATTTAATCTGGGGAAAAAATACGGAATTTTCCGTTATTTTCATAAGCATTGGTTCCTCATCCATCCGATTTTTATTGTTATTATATATAAATAAAACATATGCGGTAGAGCCATTGAAGTCAATTGTAACGATTTAACACTTTTCAAGATAGAACAATATCTTCCTGGTTGTTCCTTATATGCGGTTTTAAATAACTTGACCGGAATATCCCAATTATAAAATGCAAGGTCAATTGAAATTTGGCCTATATGCCCTTTAAGACATCCTTCTGAATT